TTGTCTACGGCCAATGATCCCGGCACTTAATAATTTCTCCTAGGGCCAAGTTCTATATATGTGCTTTTACTTTTGGAGTAGGACCCAAATAAATTGTAGATTGTATGTTTCCTTGACTAGCTCTATTGCTTATGTGGCAATCAGTTCTTCTTGTGAAACTTTTCAATCTGTCGAGATCGAGTCTTCAAGACATGCAGCTGCTATTGAACACCCGACCTCCTCTTTGGGGAGGAATGCTTGAACTAGATGGGCTATTGTCCATTTGGTATTCCAGCTGCTATTTTAGTGTTTTGCTTGGCTTTTTTGTTTTGTTTTGCCGATCTTTCAGAGCTGCAGTTTATTCTTTAGTTTTGTTTTTGTTCTTCTTGGTGGAGGGATGCCTTCACTTTTCCTCTGTATCATATTGTGTATTTGTTAATATATAATCCCATTCAGGAAAATATATATATATATATATATTCCCCTAATTGCTGCATCAAAAATCATAAAAACGAAATCACAAACTGCGATAGACAACCTTCCCTCAACCTCAAAGTACCCAAACCAAGCAAGAGGTTATTGATCACTTGCAACCTCTCAGATCGATCCCTTTAACACACTCTGATCAACTACCTGCTTTGGATCACATCACTGGTAATGTTGCAGCAAATTATATAGCACTCTGTGCTCAATGATGAACATGAACTCTAATGGCCATAATATCACATCCCTCAATTGGATGTGTTTTAACACTGTCAATTGTAAGGGTCTGCCAATATCCAAACCAGATCGAATTCGGATACAATGTTGTGATTCTGGCTTTTTTTTAACCCTCCCAACCATTTTATTATGTGATTTCAATGATGGTCTCTTTTTTTTTTCCTTTCGTACTTTTTTTTTTTTTTTTTTTCCGTAATTGCAGGCTGTGTTTTGGTTAATTGTTCCGAAATTGATCAGGGAAGAGCAGATAAAGCTGACAATGACAATAATTCAATTGATCTTCTTGTTCCAATTCCTTCCCAAGGTGTACCACAGCATACACTTAATGAAAAGAATGCAAAAGGTCACTGGTTATGTCTTTGGCACCATTTGGTGGGGTTTTGGCCTTAATCTCATTGCCTACTTCATTGCCTCTCATGTAAGTCTATGTAATGTTATGTTTGGATCATGTATATATATGTTGAGAAATTGTTCATGGCACTTTACTTATTCCATTTGCAGGTTGCTGGAGGATGTTTGTATATCCTTTCGATACAACGTGCAGCATTATGCCTCCAGCAGCAGTGTGACGGAAAAAGTAAGTGCAGTCTCTCTTTGTCTTGCTCAGAGGAGGTCTGTTACCAGTTTCTGTTACCGGCAGACACATTAGGGAATCCTTGTGGTGGCAACTCCACAATGACGATCAAAAAGCCAATGTGCTTAGATGGCGATGGAGATTTTCCTTATGGTATCTACGAATGGGCTCTTCCGATTATTTCAAGCAATTCTCGTACTGCTAAGATTCTTTATTCACTATATTGGGGATTATTTAACCTCAGGTAACATGATTGAATTTTACCAAGAATTTGTTATAAAAACCTTCTCGAGTATGTAGTAGGTTTATACTTTATAGCCTCTTCTATTTGCCAATTTTTTCAAATAAAATTTTATTCCCAGTGATTATAATCGTGGTCTTTTCTTGGACTACATGCAAGAATTTTGCTGCTCATGGACTGCATAGGTGTATTGAGAACCATTCTGTGCCAAAAAAGTGTGACTTCCAATATATTGATTCTTTTTTATATATAAAAAAGAAAATTATATGTGGGTATAACTTGGTTCTGGCGGTTTTGACCATCTGATTACCTTCATGGACAACAGTCATACACTTTTTGATCTTTGGTTACAGCACCTTTGGCAATGATCTTGAACCAACAAGTCAGTGGCTAGAAGTGGTTTTCAGTACATGTATTGTGCTCAGTGGCTTGTTACTTTTCACTCTATTGATTGCCAATATTCAGGTAACTCAAATTCTGTGCTCTAGATGTTCTGATTTTTTATGTCAAAAGTTATTATTATTATTAATGTTATGGTTTGACAATGAGGACTAAATTAAATGTTACCTTAAAGGTATTCTTGGACATGGTCTCAGCGAGGAAGACAGAGATGCAGCTGAGGTGTCACGACATGGAATGGTGGATGAGACGGAGACAGCTGCCTTCTCATCTGAGACACAGAGTTCTCCATTTTGAACGCCAAAGATGGACAACCATGGGTGGAGAAGATGAGATGGATTTGATTAAAGACTTGCCCCAAGGGCTCCGACGGGATATCAAGCGCCATCTTTGCCTCGACCTCATAAAAAAGGTAATGCAAACACCCATCTACTAATGACAAGGGGATAAATCAATTCTTAACCAATCCCAAGTGTATTAAGAACCCTAATAGAGTGAATATTTAGCAAGCAGGACCCTCTGCTTTTGGTGATAGAACTGACTTCATAGAGGCATTTTTTTATGTTATAATGGTGAGGATCACTTTGGTTTAGCAACCATTACCACAAAAATTGTAATCAACCATTACAACAAATTGTGATCACTTTGGTTTTGCTTCATGTATTTTTCTTAGCAACCATTACTACACAAATTGTAAGTGCAGTGTTTTTTTGGAAATTCGTCTTGTTTAGGTACCTCTGTTTCAAAGCTTGGATGATCTTGTCCTCGACAACATCTGCGACCGTGTTAAGTCACTTGTGTTCTCCAGAAACGAAAAAGTATGTTACACAAATTCCATAAACTTACTCAGAAAATAGTTTTCAGATAAAAAAAAAACTGTGTTTTCATAAAATAGTCCTCATAAACTGTGAACCAAAACCTATACAATTTTTTTAATTTTCAGTCCCCTGCAGAGACTTTAATCTTTTTCTTTCTTTCTTTCTGTGGAACAGATTATTAGAGAAGGAGACCCCGTGCAGCAGATTGTGTTCATTGTTCATGGGTGCGTAAAGAGTAGCCAAAAGCTCAGTAAAGGCATGGTAGCCACAAGAATGCTAGAACCCGGAGGCTTTTTGGGTGATGAGCTCCTCTCATGGTGCCTTCGCCACCCGTTCATGGACAGACTTCCAGCCTCATCCGCCACATTTACATGTATTGAATCAACAGAAGCATTTGGCCTCGACGCAAACCATCTTCAATTCATCACTGATCACTTCCGCTACAAATTTGCTAACCACAGGCTTAAGTGAACAGCGAGATACTATTCATCCAAATGGAGAACATGGGCAGCTGTGAACATACAGTTAGCTTGGCGCCATTACATGTTGAGGACCAAGGGTCCAATGAATCATGAAATGTAAAATGGAGATGATGAGCGTAGTGTCACGGGCCTAGAGATTTGGCGCAGCGGCACGGCCCGTGCGGCACCAAGGCGTTGCTTCAGCTCGCGCAAGCGCCCTGGTCAGCCACCACGACCTGCCCTCCCAAGGATACATGCTGACTGGTTTCGGCCTGCCATGGCCTCGTCAGGGGAACGGCTCCAGCTCCCGACCAGTTTGTGCAGGGATGGCCAACTCCCTTCTTCATAGTCAAGTCCAAGACTAGCGACAAGCACCTCGAACTGAACCGAGTCGACCTGCCTGAACTCTGAAGAGGTACCATCCTGTGGTCCTGCACGCCCCTTCCCTGGAACCATTCCCAGTCAATGAATGTTCTTAGCCAACCAGCATGCGTATCTTCTATGCTCATGGCGTCGTTAGGAATCGGATCGTGACATTCTCCCCCACCCAAATCCTGCGACGCCCTCGTCGCAGTGCGGCGCTGACTCCGCTGCGTCCAACTTTCCAAAGCCTGTCTCCTCCAAGTGGTATGCTCGCCTGCCCACCATCGCTTCCTTGTACAACCCCTGGCTGCACTCGCCCAATGATAGGGTTTCGGGCTAAAGGGACGCCCACTTCTTCGGGACGCAACCCCACGTTATGCCGCCTCCGCGACACCCCGAGCAAACAAGCGCCCTCCGGCTGACTTGATACCCGCCCTTCACAACGGTTTGCACGCCTCTTGAACTTGCAAGAACTTTGGTGCGCGCGGCCCTCCGGCCATCCGATGCGCGCGGCCCTCCGGCCCTTCAAGGACGCGTCTTCATGGGGAGATGGAGGCTCTCCTCCAACAGCATTGATTGCCCACCGACGCTTTTTCAGTGCACCGTCTTCATTCTCAAGACCCCCGGATCGACAAGGGGGCACACCTCTGTGCTTTTCCCCAAGTCCTGCTCTGATACCATTTGTCACGGGCCTAGAGATTTGGCGCAGCGGCACGGCCCGTGCGGCACCAAGGCGTTGCTTCAGCTCGCGCAAGCGCCCTGATCAGCCACCACGACCTGCCCTCCCAAGGATACATGCTGACTGGTTTCGGCCTGCCATGGCCTCGTCAGGGGAACGGCTCCAGCTCCCGACCAGTTTGTGCAGGGATGGCCAACTCCCTTCTTCATAGTCAAGTCCAAGACTAGCGACAAGCACCTCGAACTGAACCGAGTCGACCTGCCTGAACTCTGAAGAGGTACCATCCTGTGGTCCGGCACGCCCCTTCCTTGGAACCATTCCCAGTCAATGAATGTTCTTAGCCAACCAGCATGCGTATCTTCTATGCTCATGGCGTCGTTAGGAATCGGATCGTGACAGTAGGCTTAGGCAGTATGCTGCAATGTTCATGTCAATCAGACCGCATGATCACCTTGATAAATCAGCAAGTGCTGCAAAAAAATTTCCTCCTCATTTGGTCCCATTGTTAATGATAGGTCCTGAATGCGCCCAATTGTAAAACGATGCTGATAACTCCCAACTTTTTCAATAAAACAGATCAAGGGATCCAGAGGTATTTTTATTGAAATAAATGTCTGACGAGTATATTTTTTTCTTTTTTGCATGACAAGAATGTTGGATTTTAGAGGTGCGTGCTCTCAATGACCAAAACCATGTAGGTGATATTTACTCCTAATTTCAAGGGACACAAACTAAATTTAATAAATTACAAACTAGAGACAAAAAATAAAAGAAAGTAATACCAATTGTCATTATATAACCATGATCCACTAACTTTCATATATACATCAAATATCATATAATCCATCTACTCAAACCCAAACTTCAGACATTGATTCTCTTGAAAACAAACAAGCCCTATAACTTCAACTATCGTATATATATATATATCAAACTACTGTCCAAAGATAATATATATTACTAATATATACACATGACAATCTGCCCTGATCTCCTTAGTACTTCCTATTCTTCAGCTGCTCCCATACCCTTAACCACTCCCTCGACCACCGACTCAATGATGGTTGCCACGGTATCAGATTTGCACCCGAGAGACTTGAAGAACTTCTTAATTATACTCATCTTGTCTTTGAAGCAAAATTTGATCTTCGCTTTGGCGTCATCATTGCCCAACAAGTTTACTTCTGCCTCTCTAGAGGTCCACCAATGGTTTAACAACCGATCCAATTTGATTGGCTTGGGATTTTCCCTTCTCATTAGGCAATTGGTCAAATATGTGGATCTTGAGAGAAACTGTTGGGGTTCATAACATCAACCCATTCCAATTTGAACTCGCACAAATGATTCCAAATGGGGTTCCAACCACCGAAATTGGTCACTCTTGTACTGCTAGTATACTTCTTGTTGTTGAGACTAACTATATATATATATATACACACAGTATACACATGATCATATATACACGGTTAAACATAATAATATAATAATTAAAATTAATACTACAACAAATAAAAATTGAATTATATATGCTTAGTTGCTTACCCACAGACGCGTATCTCTTCTGTAGATTTATTAGCCGGAATATGGAGATTTTGAGCCCAGGCAACATTTATATGGAACATTGCAGGTCCTTCTGGCGTCTCCTCTATTATTTTTTATGACTTATCACCCTGCTATTTCTCTTTCCCTTTCCCTTTTTCTTTAGCTTTTCTTTTCCCATCCATAACAATAGAGAAATAGAGAAAAACAGTGTGTGTGTGTGTGTGTGTGTGTGTGTGTGTGTGTGTGTGTGAGGAAAGAGATGATAGGTGGTTAGAGAGAGTAATGTGCACCCTGAACTGGGTGGCTGCCTCCTTTAAATAAAGGAGAAAGTAATGTGCACTCTGAATTGGGTGGTTGTTGTCTCCTCTAAATAGAAGAGAGAGTAAAGTGCAATCTGAACTGTGTGGCTGCTGCCTCCTTTAAATAGAGGAATGAATAGATCAAAAGAGATGGGTGATATTTGTAAACATGGTGTGAACACATGATTTGGTCCTTTGGGGTGACAAAATGCAAGACTTTGGAAAATGCTACATGCTGCACCTACATTACTCCTTTAAATAGAGGAGAGTTCAAATATATAAATGACATTTTCTTCAAAACAAACAAGCCCTAATAACTTTAAATATCATACATACATATGCACATATATATATAGTCCCAGATTTTTCTAAATTCTTTTTTTTTTTAATTTTAAATTTTTTTGTGCATTGTTTTACGAATCATGCGGCCCGGAGGGCCGTTTAGGTCATTTCTTTTAGCCGGGGGTTTGGGTCATTTTTTTTAGCCGAGGGTTTTAAATAAAGGAGAGTTCAACATTTATTTGGAACATTGCAAGTCCTTCCGGTGTCTCCTCCACTATTTTTTCTGACTTATCACCCTGCTGTTTCTCTTTCTCTTTCCCTTTTTCTTTAGCTTTTCTTTTCCCATCCATAACAACAGAGAGAGATCGAGAAACAGAGACTGTGAGGAAAGAGATGATAGGTGGTTAGAGAGATAGAAATGTGCACTTTGAACTGAATGGCGGCCTCCTTCAAATAGAGGAGAGAGTAATGTGCACTCTGAACTGGGTGGTTGCTGCCTAGCTCCTTTAAATTGAAGAGAGAGTAATGTTCACTCTAAACCAGGTGGTTGCTGCCTCCTTTAAATAGAGGAGAGAGTAATGTGCAATTTGAACTGGGTGGCTGTATCCTTTAAATAGAAGAGAAACAAATAGATCAACGGAGAGGGGTGATATTTGTAACCATGGTGTGAACACATGGTTTGGGCCTTTAGGGTCACAAAATGCAAGACCATGAAAAATGCTATATGCATTATACACCTACATCACTCCTTTAAATAGAGGAGAGTTCATATATATAAATGACAATGATTTCCTTGAAAACAAACAAGCCCTAATAACTTCAAATATCATACATATATATATATATCTGTAATGTTCCGAATTTTTTTTTTTTTTTTTTTTTTGAATTTTAATTTTTTTTGTGCATCATTTTGCGAGCCACGCGGCTGAGAGTGCCGTTTAGGTTATTTTTTTTAGCTGAGGGTTTTAGAAATTTATTTTTAATTATTTTTAGTCCTTTGGAGGCAATTTGATTATTTTTTAAAAAAAATTTAAGAATCTAGACGACTTTAACCGATTTTATTATTTTTGTCTTGAGCGTGTAATGGACCTTTCCCATGCAAATGCATATATTTGTATTTATATATTAGATGATTTTTTGGGGACTTAGATGGGTTTACAATTGAAGGTAAAGGGTAAGAAGGTAACTAACCTAAAGCGGTAATTGACCACATTATGACGATAGCCCCTTAACCACTCCCCGACCAACGACCCAACGACGGTAGACGCGGCTGTAGCAGTATCACATTTGCACCCGAGAGACTTGAAAAGTGATCTCACAAATGAAGAAATGTCTGAATTAAACAAAATAATGTTAGCATGGGAAATGTCTAAGCTGTTTTTTTTGTGATTCTTAAGAAATAATTTAAAATATCTTTAAATCTTGAAGTTTATCTTGTTAATGATAAAATCGAGCTCTTCATGTCCTGACTAAGAGAGCCCTGGACATACAATATAGCATCATTACTTTGGTGTTTCAAGGTTTTATCTTCCAACAAATCGTAAAGTTAATATATTATTTTATTTCCTTGTTTGTTAAATAAATTATTTCTTTTGCAAGGACCAACAAAAAACCAAAAAAAAAAAAAAAAAAAAGATGAAGAAGAAGAATAAGTTATTATAGTGAAAATGGTAGTTATGGTATTATAAAATAAAAAATGATAGATTAATAAGTTTAAGGATTTTTTTGTCATTTTTTTACAAGAAACAAAAAAAAGATAAATAGAGTGCAATTGTAATTTTTTTTCTATTCTTTTTGGAAGGCCAAACAAAAGGTGCATATTTGAAATGACAATACTTAGGTCATCACTAGTGAGGATTTACAAAATATTCTCAGCTAATGTGGACTAATAATAAAGACCTTTGATCTTTAATTACCAAATCAAATATAGTAGGTAAATATTCACTTATCAAATCACAAATGGTGATTTAATTACCATATATGATTTGGTAATTATAATAGGACGCGTCCATTTATTATTGGTCCATATTAGCGATAAATATAATGTAAATTCTTACTAATATTAATCCTAAGCACAAGTTTCTAAGCACCATGCTATAATCAACCTCAAACATAACTTTTGCCAAGTTTCCAAACAACTTAATAACCACTATTCCCGCGGTATTATAGATCTGATAATTGAGATAAAGTCTAATAACAAAATCGTTCATCATGAGTTGGAAAGGTAGTCAATGAAGATGTTGGGCCTTTAAGAGGAGGTGATTGTGGCTACATTTTGGACCAATATTCAACAAACTTAAACAAAGAGTGAGTTTCTAAGACTTTGATAAACAAAGAGTGATCCAAACTAGAGATATAATACTGAAATTGAATCCAACTGAACAATTAGAAACAATGAAATTAAATTGAACAAACTTCTCCTTTCGTCCTTTTTTTTTTTTTTTTTTTAGTTTTTTTTTTTACTTTGGTTGGCAGGGACAAGGCCTTTCTTGCTGGCGAGCTCATCCGATTCTAAAGTCCTCTCCGAAACCACTTCATGTTTAATTGTTGAAAGATGGAAGGAAGCTTTCAAAATGATATTGAGTTCCTCAAATATGCAGGTTAGAAAAATGATATTTGCTGCTATTTTCTGTAACGACCCAGCTCCTCATGGATCCGGATCATTAAACGGGTCCTTACCCGACCCAAAAACGTCCAAAGGTAATACGGTCATTTCACGTTAAATTTAAATAACAAGGTCCAAAAAGGGCAAATTGGTGATTTGCCATAAATCCATAAATTGAGACTCAAGGGTATAACAGTCATTTACTTGTATCACGTAACAATTAAAATAAGGTTCTGGACAATATAGTCCTTTCGGAGTTAAAAATATAATTATGGCATTTTAGTAGGTCATAAAATAATTACTTGTAATTTCACTTGGTGCCGAAGTGTAATTTTGGGAAACTAAACACAAGTGACATAAACCGGTCCACATCTCCACCCCATACGTCGATTGGTCCGAGATACCAGTCGACTGGTTTAGGACATAATACCGGTCGACGTATGGGAAGTCATACGTCCACCGATTCTGGGAAATCTTCACTTTCACTTCCCACTGTCCTGTGTAACCCATGTACACCAACTTTTGATAATTCAAACACCCACGCCACTGCACTTACGTGTAATTTCAATACATTTCAACAATAAATTCAATACCAACAACTAAGTTAATAACATAATTTATCACACGTCACTAAAATACACTAAAGGATTTGGTGTAATTAGAAATTAATTACATTTTCTCAAATGGTCATGAATACAAACTTATTTACATATCCAAAACTACAATTACACATGAAATGGCCAAATACAAAATAGCAAAAAAAAAAATCATCTTCTAATGACTTTCAAGCTTGCGGAGGATTTTCATCCGCCATTTCATTGTCGTGACCTGAAAAATATATAAGTAGGGTGGGGTGAGCAATTTGCTCAGTAGGTGACGCCTAAGACGCACCTCATGAGATTCCGTGAATCCAAAACGAAGAATAGGCCAATAGGAGTTAGGGTCATACAACATAGGGGAGAATACAACATGGTTATCATTCTCAACACAAATAATATGATGCAATGGAGATGCAATGCATGCCGATGTCGCTCCCCTTTTCACAATCGAAATCATTGCTTTCAACTGTTAATACAGCCCGCCCTTTGGTGACCCCGCAGCGACACGAGAGGAGGATTGGCTAGTGTCCCTGACCTTTGGTACCCCCGTGGCGTCATTATGGGGCCCAGTTAGCTCAACCATGTTAGGACGACTCCCTAGTCCCCTTTAGGCTATATTAACCTCCAGCCCTTTGGTACCCCCGCGGCGACCGGGTTTTTCAAAACACTTTCATCAAAACATTCTTTCCCAAAACTCCCCATTTTCATTTCAAAAACAAATTTCTTCCCTTCATACAGCCCAATGGTGTACATGCATGTCTCATGATCTCAACACTATGAAAATGAGGAATTTGACACAACACAAGTAAGCATGTTCTCGTACTTCTAATATTTAAACAATAATGGATTATCACAAAAAACATAACATGTGAATAATACAATAGGCATAACTCACAATATAAACATGTTTTTCAAATAGTGCAATCAAGACAAGTCTTTACATATTCACATATATACATTCAAAACATTTTTAGGCTACAATTAACACAAATAGGCATGTTATAACACAATTCAAGTAAGTTAATTCACAAAGGTGCATGAATAATGTGAATTAGGAAGCCCCTACCTCAAGATTGCACAAAACCCTTAAATTGGGTCAAGAATTTCGAATTCCCTAGGGAGGCTCAAAGTTAGAATTGTCGGTATGAACGTGTAGTGCTCGTCGTGCTTTCCGTTTAGTCTCAAACGGCACTTAAAAACTCCAAGAGTTGAGAGGGTTATGAAGCTTCAAAGATTGATACAAACTGGAAAAGAAAAGCAAGAACACAAGGAAGAGCAAGGCATTTACGGGAGAGAGGAAAAAAATGAGAAGCAAAAGTGGTTTCTAGACCACTTAACCTTGGTGGTGGGTCCCGCCATTTCCATTTTCTTTTATCCTTTTCTTTTAATTTCAAATTACACCACATACAAATACCACTTAATCCACATAATCTAAAATGTTCAAAAATACAAATGGACCCAACCACAATCCCGAACGACAAACGTGAAAGGACAAAAATACCCTTGTCTCTACGAATTACTGAAGAAAAAATATATATATACAAAAAAACGGAAACGTCACATTTTCCCTATTTGTGTGTCAAGTTCGAAGAAACTGAACAAAAACTTAAGGGTTAATTTCACTGATATCCCCTCAGATTTGGCTAAATATCACTCACATTACAATCGTTTGTTTCGTTTTTCATTTACACCTCAAAAGTTACTTTTAGGTGTGTCAGATACATTTTTGTATATAAAATGACATTGCTAATTTTATAACTATCTGAAATGACTTGAATACCCTTTGACTTTTATTATATAAATTTATAATTATATATATATATAAAAAGAATAAATATATATATATATACATAAAGAATAAATATATATTTGTATATATATATATATATATATATATATATAAAGAATAAATATATATTTGAATATATATATATATATATATATATATATATATTTCTCATTTTGTATAACAACTAAGTTATAATTATTTGTATAACAACTAAATTATAATTATTTTTTAAAATTATTCTTTATATATATATATATATATATATATATATATATATTTATATATATTTCTCAACATTTACACCACCACTTTTCTCCACATAATATCTTTGTCTTTCTTTTTTTCTTTATTTTCTAATTTTCTTTTCTTCTTCTTTATTACTTCCGGCAAAGAATTTTTCTTTTTTTTTTTTTTAATTTTATTTTCTTTTCTTCTTATTCATTATTGTCGGCAAAGAAGAGAGAGAAAGAGAGGGCCATTAATGGTGAAGACGGGAGCAATTAATGATTGTGACCAGTAACTTTTAAATCAACCAAGAACACCAACCAACACAATCTCGGCGTAACAGGAGTGCGTCGGAATCCAGAAAAGAAACTACAAGAAGATGGGCTAACAGAGGAGTGCTAAGGCTAATTTAATTCACTGATTTGCATTCTGATTATTATCTAAATCAATATTAATCAAGTCATTAAAATGGCGACCCACAGTAAGATTATTGGGGTTTGTAGTGGGAGGAAGGGGAGTGAGTGAGGGTAAGGGCATTTTAGTCTTTTTAGGTTTTTTTAATACTTTATAATAAAAGTTATTAAAAAATTTAGGAGTAAAATTGTCTTTTCAACATTTTTAATGGTGTCATTGGCGAAAAAATTATTTTGGGTCTGAGTGATAGTAATTTTAGTAATATATTTTTATGTGATATTTGACAAATCTGAGATATTTGTGAAATTAACCCAAAACTTATTTATTAAGTTTATGAGAATTATTTTAAAAAATATATATATTGTTAAAAATAAATTTTTATAATTATTTTAAAACAATTTTTTCATTTTTTACGTTCTTAAGAATTATTTCACGAGTGAAGCAGGAGGACGTGGGTGTTCATAAGTTTTAACCTTTTTCTGTGCACCTCAGTCCAAACCCACCTAAACTCCGGGTGGGTTTCGGGTCCGTGCTTCACCAAACCGAGTCTGGACGGTGTCGTATCTCATCTCCCTCTCTCAGTCGCTCCCTCCTTTTTATCATCGCCATTTTCTGCTCCTGCATCTCTCTCTGTAAAAGTGTACTTTGCAATGAGCGCCTGCAAAACCCTAGTCCGAACATCTCTCTCTTGTTTAGAATGGGGGTTTAAAAGCAGCAATCGACGAACAGTCTCTTCACTCTCTCTTCGACGCCTCCGCTCAATCTCTGCTTCTAATTCATCTAATGTCTGCTTGTCATCTCTCCTCTTTCGCAATCGAGGTAATTCAATCCCCCTATACTCCCTCTATATATATACACACACGAACACGAACATGTGCATTTATCTATATCTTCAATTTATTGCCATCTTATGGGTTTTCTCATTCGGTACGGCTAGGGTTTAGTGTCGAACCATATGGAGTCCCTTCAAGAACTTACTGTTGCATCGAAGGGGCCATATCCTTGGAAGAAGCAACAGATTGTGGGGACGAAACTGTCTCTCCAATCCAAACCCTAGATCCACCAGAAGACTTGTCGGAAGACACAGTCGAACAGTTGTTATCGAACAGCGACGATGTTTCGAGATTCATGAAAATGGAACGAAGGACTGAGGTTCACAATGGAGGTCAATTTGCTCAACCCAACCGTTGGTTTCCGTATCTTGATAAGTTCAAAGCTGGAACTACTTTTTTGGATAGTGGTGAAGTGTTGCAAGCGATGGATCCGTATATAATGGAGGTGAGGAAGGAGAGGTTCAGGAATGTGGTGAAGAATAGGAGCTATTCGGTCTGCTTGGTAGTTGAAGGCTTGTGTGATTTTGGGAATGTTTCTGCTGCGTTTCGGTCAGCGGATGCGCTAGGGTTTCAGTCGGTTCATGTGGTCTCATGCGACAGCTCAAAAAGGTGCAACCAAATTTGAGGTGAAAATGCTGTAGTTTTGCATGCCAAATGTTTGGTTTGGCAATATCAACTATGTGTTTATTGTTTCTTCTGTGTTGTTGTAAAAAAAAAAAAAAAAAAAAAAAAAAAAAAAGCCTATTACAGGGGATTCGGAAATTGTAACATTTGATTAAATACCCAACATGGCTCATCGAAAAATTGGATGGTGGTTTCTTAGAAGTGAAGGGACACCCTTCATCCTGATCCAGGATTATGTCTTATATATTCATTTTTGTATAATGGGCAGATTAGATCTTCATAGGGTGACAAACTAAACAAATTGGAACAATTCAATTTTCTTGAAACTTAGACAAATTTTCGTGTGATCAGGGTTCTGCTATATCTTAATGCATTGCAATATGCCTTAGCATTTATATTTCTTTCTCATTGGTGCTCATGGCAATCTTGCTCTTTCACAATATGTGTACTTAAACTACAACGGTATATTTTTTCTTCTGTCTGTTATGAACCACTCTGAACTTGGGACAATAGGACTTACTAATTCATTCTAAAATGCAGATACAGAGACAATCGTCATGTTAGCATGGGAGCTGAGAAATGGTTGGATGTCGAAGTTTGGGACTCCACTCAAGAGTGCTTCAAAGCTTTGAAATCACGTGGTTATCGCATTGCCACAACACACGTGGGAATGGATGCGGTATCAATAAAATTTCCCTTTTGTTCGTATGTTTGCATTGTATTATGAGGGGTGTTCAATTTAAGTGCGTCAAAGTTTACTAAGTTCAATATATGCTCGACTGACTATCTGATGCTATGCCTAGGTTTCCATTTACGACATGGACTGGACGTGCCCAACTGCAATAGTTGTTGGAAATGAAAATCAGTAATTATCTTCTTCTAACAACTTTTACATTGTCCTTGATTGTTTATTTCCTCTGTTCTGAACGATGCTTTTATATCTGTCATGGCCAGTGATACTAGTAGGGTTGTTTATTGACTTCTAACATTGGACACTTTGGAAATTCAAACCATTCAAATAAAATAAAATAATATTAGGAGCCCTCATTTTGTCACCTCCCCTCCCAATGTCCTTTGCTGAGTAGTTTATTTTTCCTCTTTTAAATTGATTTTTTTCATACTATGTCTGTTAATTGATGATTGAGGGCCTGTGGACTTTTTTCATCTTATAGTTTTTCATCTATTTTTTTGTGTGCTGTCTAATCACTGCTATGATTAATTAAGAAAATTTCGTGCTAACAACCTTTTGATCTGGATGAGGACTAACATATCCCGTCATCTGTTAGGGGTGGACTTGTGTGCCCCAAATGTTTCTCTTGATTTCTTTTATATTTTTTCTTGAGCTTTCTGCTGTTATGTTCCTCCTTTTATATAATCTTTTAGATTCAAAAATGTTATTTTTTATTGGTTTTCTTACTTTGCAGAATCCATTGCAATAATACCAATTGATATAAAAGTACCCCACCCCACCCTAAAAAATATGAGAAATGATCCATTTTTGGACAACCTTGCAAGTAGCAACTCTAACCTTCTTAGGCTTTTTTCATTTCTTTTAAATACATCTTGTTGAGAATACTAAAACAATTAGGCTGCATTGAACTCTGTTTTCTACTTGAAGCACACTTTGTAGTTGATGAGTTGGTAAAGCCTCCAGCAGTATTGCTTGGAAATGTGAACTTAGTCTTATAATGTCTCATCTAAGAGCTCTCTTTGAAACATAGTTAAATTGAAGTCACAATTTGATCTTGTTGAATTATTGACTGCAGGGGTATAAGTGATGAGGCCCTGGAGTTATCAGATTTGCGCTGTAGTATTCCAATGAAAGGCATGGTGGATTCCTTCAATGTTTCAGTTGCTGCTGCCATCCTCATGCACCACGCTGTTTGTGACAGAAATTCCCGCTTGGTAATTAACTGTGTTGCATTTACATCTGGCAGCAGTTACCATTTTACAATAATAAATACTGAAAGACACTTTACCTTAAATTTGTAGATCTTGAACAGATATGAGTTTTGATGCTTTGGGCATTGGTCTGTTTGATAAGCTTCTAACTTGATTTCATGCGTCATACTTTTATCAAGCCTAGTTTAAGGTTGCATTACAATTATTGCAGTAAGAGAAGTCATTCTCACACATGAATGTTTTGTATGTATATTTGGGATAGGGGGTTCTTACTTGTTGAAGTTGCGGTGGATTCACTGCCCCTTGTGTATTCATACTTACTGTAGATTGTTAAATGTTGTATTTGTTTAGAATCATTGTTGAACTGGTTATGCCATTGATTCTCAGGACTTGTACATTGGGTCTTTATTAAAAAATTCAGTTATATTTTTTTCCGTGGTACATATTGTTTTTTTGAAGTTGAAAACTTGGCAAATGTTTGTGTGAATACATTAGATGGCAAATGTGGGAAATCTCATATTCTTTTTCATTAGATGGCATGGATATGTATTCCTTATGTTGCTGATTATATAAATCCATTGTAGTTGCTAATGTATTTACATTCCATTATTATTTTTTACCGAATATTTACATTTCATTATTCATTGTTAATTTTTCCGTTTGTTATACAGGGTTGCCACGGTGACCTAACATTGGAGGAGAGCAAAATCCTACTTGCAGAATTCTCTCTGCGACACAGCAAGAGTGCAATTAGCATCGCCAATGAGTTTGCAAAGCGGAAGACAGCGAGGCCCATACCAGAGCTTTGAAATCATCCTTTTAATGTCCAGGGTTTCCTGTTCCATGATATGTAGAATTTGCGACTTCTGGTAGTTTACAGGTACTTTTTTCATTTATCAGTTTCTTACCCTATTCATCAATATTGTTCTATTCTATTTACGAAAATTACATGTATGGCATCTGTAGGTCAATTATCTGGTTAGCTGTGTCTCTAGAACTCATCATTGTGAAAAGATTAAGTTACGAACTTATGGGGTGAGATTATGTTCTGGTGTCATTTTGTAGCGCGCAGAGTTGGAGCCTGTTTGGGGTTGATGTTGGACTAAGTAAGGCGCTTTTATTAGTAGCGTTGTCCAAAAATTGCAATCAGTAAAAAATATGTTAAATGTTTGGTGACACATTTTAATAAGTACTTTTCACAATTAAATTATTTTTTAATTAATTCAATTACAATATTTGTTTAAACACTTCTATTACTAATTTTACCATAATATCTTTATTAAGAAGTGAGTGTAATTGTTTTTATTAAAAATAAAATGATAAAATTGTCTAATGAAAAAGAGTTGCATAAAATATTCAATATCTATTCAAAACACGCTTTTGAAAGTTCCAAATTCTAGCTTCATTCAAAAGCATTGCTGGAGATGTTTGTGTTAATGGTGGTACCAATGATTTCCATGTTCAGGATCAGTCTGACCCCTTATTCGTTATTCGTTTACTGAGCTAAATTTGGTATTAAAAGCGTTTTTAATGCTTATTATCACACACATCTAAACTTAATTTTTCAAAAGAACGCTCTCTTGGTAAAAAGAAAAAAGGTGGTGCAACTATAATCTTACGCCTTACTCAAGGTACTCTCATTCTCATCGAGTGCAATTATAGATGGAGTATACCCCATTGTGTGTGCCCCCGATCATCCTCATCTGAACGTGATTATTATCTTTAATTAATGACCACCTATTTATCAATTTATTTTGACAGGGGACTTTTGAAGTCTAATGAATGCGACATGTTAAGACGAGAAGATTCCTACACCAAAGTGTGTTATGTAACCGTATTGAATCTGTACAAGTTAATTTTACACCCAAGTGTCTTATTTATTGAATCAGATTAGCATTGTATTTGTGCATTTATCTATAAATGCATATTGACAGCTTATTTTACAGTGCACAAAAAATGCTTTTCTTTTTCTCCCGGAATGTAACTTGTTTTGTTGCAAGATGTCAAAGCACTGTAACATTAGGAAAGAGCTTAGAAGTTAATTGGAATATAATATTGGTTTTTTTTGAGAATATTAACAGTGTTAATGCCAAGCCCAACGTGATGGAAGGGATGGTAAAAATGATGGATGTGGCTTTGGTTGTAGAGATACGCAAATATGGATGGAAGAATGGGAGGGAGGGAGGGATGATGCATCTTCAGGAAAAGGAACGTGTTTTTCTCACTTTTTGCAGAAATGATAGATGTGACATACTTTTTTTGTTTGGTTGGAAGGAAGAGAGTGGGAGTTTTTATATATGTTTTACTAATGTACTCTTATTATACATGATTTTGTAAATGATTTAATAGATATGGTTTAATAAATGATTTTGTAAGTAATAAATTGGTAAAATTGGTATAACAATTTTTTTTTTTGTAAATGACACATGGGCCCATTTTTTTAATTTTTGAGGCAACTTTTTTAGATGAAATTATTCCTTTACATTATCGTGATCTTCATTTTTAAGAAAGAACGCAGATGCATCGATAGTCTGGTGGTTAGTGCCTTCAGTGGATTTTGGGAGTGCCCGATTTCGACTCTTTGCATCTACTAATTTACGTCTAACTCTTCTTTCCTTATAAAAAAAATAATAATAAAAATAAATAAATAAATTCGAGAAAGAACAATTTAGTCGGGCAAAGCTTCAAACCACACCACCTGGTTCAGTCCAAAGAGCTTCACGCATGGACATACGATGACATTAAATTCCCAATTGGATGTTCCCTACAACTCAAGATTGGGTGTGTTTTGAAACTTTACAATAGCTCTGATCAAACCCAGAGCAAAGACGCCCCAATTATTATACGCATGAACAATATAATTACGGGCTTTGCAGGAGGAATTGGATATGAAAGAGAGACAATGATTTAGTCTTGAATTGCTAAATATATATATGAATGTATGTATTATGCAAATGGATGATCATTGAGGGAAACCAACTCGCCTTACCAGCACACTGAAGTTGTCGCCGTTGGCCTCAAGGTCGTCGACGGCAGAGAGTGAATGGGAAAGAGATGATAGAGAGATTAAATGGGAATAAATTAATGACAAGAAGAGAGATAAACCGAAGTTGTAGGAATGGAAGACTTCATCAGTAGGCATCCTCAAAGAACCCGAACCAAGGAGACAACAATGGGTTTCCTTGAGAACGACCAACCTAGCGACTCAAGCCGTTGCCGAGAGAGAAACAGCGGCCTTATGGTCGCTATTCAGGTAGCAGCTTCGGCAGAGCAGGCCGGCGGGCGGATGTCCGGCGATCTGTTGAAGATGTTTTAAAGGGTAATTTCAAATTGCCTCACAAATTAGTTTTACAGAGTTTAGTTAAAATCAGATTTAGTTTTAAACATACATATACAACGCTGAGACCAGCCACTCTCTTCAGGATAACTTGTATTTTCTGTCGACGATTTATTTTCTAATATTTTATTTTCCTCCTATGTTCTCGTTCAATGGTAATTGGTAATAAACAAGGGAAATGGGATATCATTAGCTTCTTTTAAGCACTGAATTAGTAAAACTAGACGATGCAAGATAGTGGACAGCTTCAGTTGATCTACCACTATAAATACCAATTACGAATACCTATTACCATTATCTATCAAATTATTGGAACTTTTCAGGTTTCAAGATCTGCCGATAAGGTTAAACATATTGTTAGTAAATAATATGAGCACTCCAGCACTTACAATCCACTTTAAGTATAATAATAATACTCCGTAATAATAATAATAATAAGAGAGGGTTCTATCCACTGAACACAAAATAAAGACTTCAATTCCCATTTACAAAATATTAGGAATTCTACAACCATTTCCTAATCAATTAAAGTCATTCCATCGGTTGTGGTTTGTAAGGTGGCCTTGGTGCTATGCATACTCAGGCTTTCTCCGTGTTTCTTCAATTGTTGAGATCTAATGAACTCTTCAATTTTTGCTTTCAGCTCAATGTCGGGAATCAGCATGTCCGAAGTAAGATGGGAACGATTGAATGGATCAGTCTGCAAGATCACAACATCAGTCTTCAATACAACTAACTAATTTTAGGGGAACCATAACAATTTCCCCACCTTAATCAAAAAAAATATTATTATTATTTATTTATTTTTATAAAGTCTATTCATTTCCTCAGTAAGTTAGCAAACCAAATAGAACATTAGTGATCAAAGAGAGGTAAAAGTAGAAGTGAAGATGTACATTATCACTTAGAAGATGCCTTTGAATGACAGGACGATCTACTGTGATTCTTGAAGAAGGTAATATAACCGGATCCTTCATTAAAGTGTACTGCAACCAAAGAAAAGTTATTAGAATGTTCATATTATCAACAACAGAAAGAATTTCAAAAAATTAACAATTAAGACTCGAGTTACCAAATGCTTTAAACTGAAGTATGGTATCATGGGTTAGCTATCAAACTATCATTAAAATGGCTTCAAGCTGAACTATAGAACATACCTGAATTGGGTCAAGGAATTCATCCGGTATCTCTCCAAGAACAGCTTCAGCGTCCATAGCCTCAGAAGCTGCGACCTTGGCTTTTGCACCAAGCTCAATGAACTCGTGAATAATTCTTCCATCTTCACCAATTCTACGGAGAACATCTGCTGCAGCAGTAAACAACTGGTGCAGATTCAAACTGTTAGACTGATTTCAATCAACTATACACTCGTAAAGAGGATGAAAATCCTATAACATTATATTGACACAAAAATCAAAATACTAGTAGTAAGTTTGCCTCAATTGAGTACCTGCTCATTGTACGATCGACCATCCTTAGTGATGGCAGCAGGGAAAATATTGTCCGTGTCACCCCTTGCTAGGTGAACATATATATTGACAATCTTCAAATCAAACATAATAATAGTTAGGACTCGGGATATATTTTGCTCCAAGCTACAATTATGTCATATGTACAGTGTATTGCTAGCAAATGGGAGTAGACCGTTGACAGCAAAAACCATAATTATGGAAGTATGATGCTACAATAAGGATGCTTCTATGCACTTTTGGGTCTAGAATATCATGTCCAACAAGGATGCTTATTTGCACTTTTAGTTCAAATTTAACATGCTTACTGACACCTCTTGTTGTCTCAATGTAATGAAAGGGCCAAATCCCTAATGGAGTATGGCAAGTCAGTAATAGACCATATACAACCTAAGTTGAAACAAACACACAATTATCACGCCTGACCAAGAAGAAAATGTAGGCAGTTATTCAGGTAAAAATCAACTATAAATCCAAAGAGACCTGTTGTACTGTTGATTCCCACTCTTGGATTTGCCAAATAAACAAATATATTGTTCACAAATAAGGAAATTTCGGTGCCAACCTGCTTAAGCAACTGCTTTGGACGGAACTCATACTTTTCAGGCTCTTTTAGACTAAGAGATTTCCTTTGGGGGCCCACAAGTTGCAACAAAAAGTAATTGAGCATGCTGGCCACTCTTTCAACCTGGAAGAAGAAAGAAACACCCAATCATAATTAAAAAGAATGCACCAGTATCCAATGGTAGTTTTAGCTACAACTGGTCTTGTGGGAAGGGATTACATTATGAAACAGATAAGTGAGTATACATTACCATCTCTGGAAGTAGGAAAGGAGCTGTAATCTGCTCTGAAGTAAATGCCAGCATGGTCACATCTTCATTGGCCAACTTCATATCAATCCGAATGATCTAGAAAAGCCAAGGAATTTTAATTGAATAGTCATTTTAAAATTATGCAACAAAAATTCATTGACCAACTTCATATCATCCCAAATGACAGAGAAACAGCCAATGATTTTTATTAGAATTAGCAAATTAAGCAACATTTAAGTTCTCCAAAATAAGTAAAAACTAACGTTCTCTTGGGAGTGGAAAAGTCGGGTTCTCTCCTGCCTTTCTTGAGCCGGTCTTCGCTCCCATTCCACAGTATTAGACATCTCAGCTTCCAGCTCTTTGAGTTCAAGAATTTTGTTGAGACTTTCATCGAGAAGATAAATGCTATCATTGACCAAGAAGTTTAAGAAGTTCAAATAGACACCCTTTTCCTCTTCCTTGGCAATCTGGAACAGCATAAAGGACTCAGATGGAAGTTCATTTATATCAACTGAAAAGGCACGTAGCAGAATTTTCAATACAAAACAGAGCATAAGGATGACTATACCTGTCTCCACGCATTGCGGTGACTAGGAACCTGCCATAGGTATTCTAGAAGTTCGGCAATATTATGGCGGATGTTAAACTTGTCATAGAACTGCACAAGATGCAGAAGAAGAATTCCAATCAAAAAGAAAGAAACGGAAACTCTCTGTTCAAGTCAACATTGGAAACAAACGAGTTTTTGATCAATAGAGAGAATTCAAGAAAAAGTGGAGGGCAGGGGGGGGAGTGAATAATTTGGGTCATGTGTTTGCCAGCAACATAATACCAAGAAATGATCTTGGAACACTACTCAAACCAGACCACCTTATAAGAAAACAAAACCTTGCCCATATATCCCTGCACCCAATCCAAAATGCAAAACTTGGACAGATTCTTAATTACTTTGATCCAAGCAATTTACCTAAGTTACTCCTGTCCTGGAGGCAATAGGGGCAATTTTGAGATTTAATTTTCAGTGGTAAGGCTCGAAATCATGCCCAAAGTTTCAACCTTGTCTTGTTGAACAGTCTGCACAACCTATAGGATTCCAGTGCATGCCAAAATTAAAGGAAACACAAATGTGGTTATTAGGCTTGCACATGCTCATTGATGAATACTGCCATCATCCTTTTTCATGCTCGGCCAGCATTGCCGCATATTTTTCCTCTAGGTGGGGAAAAATGACCAGCAAAATAATGAGGAACAATTTTAATGAGATTTATATTAATTAGTGCCATGTAAAATAAAGAGGCACAAAAGAAAAATGATTTATATATATTTATTTAGAAAAAGGAGTCTCAACAGAAATAGAAGCTTCTAGAATTGTTGATTCATATTTGCAAGTCTAACAATATATCTTTATTATGTACAGGGCACCAAAAGTTCAACAATCTTGATTATGACATTACAAGAAATCAATACATTGAAGTGCTCCTTCAATATTCGCCCCAGTGCCCCCATTACGTCCACACTCAGGCTTGGTTATGGAACAGTAATTTGGAACGTCCGCAGGGACAAAAGACAAATTAGAATAAACATAAAAATATATTTGACCTGATACGATAAGGGCTAATATTTCAAGGCATCTGAAGAAGCGTCAAGATAATTATAAAAGGAAAAGCATCTACAAATAAACGCAGCCATATTAATAGTAGGAATGTACAAGAATAAGCTGTTGCTCTCAAAAACTAAAATTATAAAATCTGAGTGGCAATCACCTGAGTGTGAGAACCCGTGAACTCAATGTCAACATAAAGCTTCAGAAGGTTCCTCACAAGATACTCTAGCGACAGTTGATGGCCTTCAAATAGAGTAGCTGTAACGGATGAGCCACTGCCAAAAAATAAAAAAATAAATAAAAATAAAAAGAAGTGAATACCCAAATATTAAGCTCCAAAATGTAACCCTTTTTTTCCAGTGTAAAAAAAGTCAGTCAGTCTATTATTTCCATAAAATGGAAGATATAGTCACCTTCTACGGGGCATCCAGCAGTTCAGGACTTCCACCATTTTTGCTCTTAGATATGGATTCCTGATGAACTCTGGACTTGCCATGAACATGATGATGAAGTTCATGAAATCATCCTGTCAAGTAAAAATGAAATGAAAGATACTTTACATGCGTCAAAGAGCTTATGGGGAATAAGAATGCGCATAAATTCAACATAAATCTTTAGCATATAGCCTACCAGCAAAACCCCATCCAAAGCTTTAGGAATCCGAGAAGCAAAAATAAGCAATTCCATGGCATCTTCCAAAAAATGCTCAGGCATGCATGAGAATTCCATTGGGCAAGTTGATGGCAGAGGCATCTTAAAACCATCAACCAGGCCAACCAACCAAACCACCATTAACCGGTAGAAAGTCAGCGCATTCTGAACAAGTCCTCCATCCTAAAAATAATATTAATTGATTATGTCAGTAACAGGATGAAGACCGGTCAATGCTGTTTTATCTCTATGTTTTTCTATTGACCAAACCTTGTCTAAATTAGTACATGGGTGGATAGATGAGAGTAAGATTTGGCAGCTCTAGGTTTCAATCCCTAAGGGAAGTGACACTACATGAGTAACACTATAAATGACCAAAAAGATATCACTTTTCATTTATAGAGGTTTAATTTTAATTGCATGTGATACAACATTGTACTGAGGAAGTTCCAAATTTCCATCATTTCTTATCTTGACAAGTTTTGAACAACAACAAAGATCACCTTAAATTTTTGTGTCACGTTAACATTCAAAAAGATGTTACAGCACAGTCAGAACTTATAGTTTATAATAGTAAAAGATGACCCTTTATTTATCAAAAAAAAAAAAAAAAGAAAAAAAAAAAGAGGGTTTTCCTGGCAATACTGGCTTTTGCTAAAATGTGGGAGTACCTGATATGACTGTCCACAGCACATGCTTTGACGAAAGCCAATATTACTTTGACAATAGTAGCATTTTAAGATAAAAATAGTATTACCAAAAGCAACCTTCCTTTAGACTACATAGTACAAACTGAGTACAACTATATGCAAATAAATCAAGAAAGCCCAATGATACACAGTTAAAAACAGTTATAGAATCAAAGCAGATAACCATGAAAAAATCTATTGCCACAAAAGTCAAATACATAAAAAGGGCTGCTTATAATTCAAAACCTCGTATTTTTCATTAACAAAGGGCTGCTAATAATTCATAAAAATAATCCAGTGCAATTTGGAACCACCAATTGGCATATTGGTAAAAAAGCTTGCGCTGTCAAGATTGAGAACGCATGTTTGAATTTTGAGAGAAATCACTTTGTGTAATTAACAGCAAAAGCTATGACTTTATCCAGTCTAGCCCTCCAACAGCCTCAATTAATGGGAATCATTATCCACTTCCTTATCTTCTATTTTCTGAAGCACAGATACTTTTGCAAAGTAACCATGTCAGGTGTAATCATAACATACCAGTCGATACAAATGTGCCCATGACTTAAAATGATCTTTTCTAATTTTAAACATGTAATTGATACTTCTTAGATAATCTGAGACGTATCTAACATGTCTTTGACTTTAAGGTGTGAAATGTGTTTATATAGCATTAGAGTATACTTGTTTGGAAGAACATAAAAAGGGTTCCGAAGCTTGACATATAATAAGAATAAATAATATTCGATTTTGGTCCCAAGTTCATATCCATGCCATGCAACCTCAATTTTCTCAAGTACTTTTTAGTATTTTGAGTAAGGGTCCCTTTATATTTCAAACACCTCTTAGATAATCCAAGGCATGTTCAACAACTTTTAAGGTGTGGCATGTAACATAAAAAGAATTTCAAAAGCTTGACATAGAGTGAGTAAATAATATTTGATTTTGGTCCAAAGTTCGTTGGACATTGAAAAAGACGTAAGAACAAAGCATTCACGTAGCGGAAACGAGGATACTACGTTGGATGCTAGGAGTAACTAGAGAAGATAGGATTAAAAATGCACGTGTGAGGGGAAATGAGGATGCTACATTGGATGCTAGGAGTAACTAGAGAAGATAGGATTAAAAATGCACGTGTGAGGGGAACTCTAGATATAGCGCCTATAAATGATAAAATTAAAAAGAAAAATCTGACATACCCTCAGTATCTGTGCTTCATAACAGAGCTTTTCCTGCGAATATAGCTCAATTTCTTTCTCGAGGCGAGCTACATCCAACTCCAGTTGTTGAGAAGGCGCTTGCCCCTGCATGGTTTTCAAACTGGAGAGAGTATCCTCACATCTCGAAATGTCCTGGATAGAATTTCATTGGAAGGAGTAAAACCATCAATTAGTAGACTAATATTAACTAATTAGAAGAAAACCCAGGTAAAGGGAAAAATAACACTAATAGCTCATGATTATGAAAACATAGAAAGCTACTACAAAATACTTATTTATTCCTTTTCAGTCTGGACCGACAGAGCATGTGAGGCAGTGAGCATTACCTGAACAAGATGCTTGAAATCAGAAAATGCTTTTAATATGCCCAAATTGAGGACCCTTGCAGTCATGAAGAAACATTCACAAATAAATGGATATTTAGTTTTTCTGCTACAACTTGACAATGGCTTGTTAGTTTGGAGGGGAGAGAGTCCACCAGCATTACTGCCAGAACTGGTAGCCCCTTGAGATTGTAGCAACCGATTTTCTCCAACTTTACGGCCATCAGCTTCCAAAGTATTATCTTTATTTAGCCATTCAGTAACTTCTTCAGATGATGCATGTAGAGCAGTCAATCCTCTAGCATAGTTCATGGGAAATATTCAGGAACTATAAGAAGACATCCAAAATTTTGTACAGAAAAAAATCTAATAGATGTCCATTGAACATTCATAAGTGATAAAGGAAAGTATAATGATGATGATGATGATATGTCTATTGAACACAAGGCTCTCACCTTAAATCCAAACGTGTACTGTAGAATACATATTTAGGATCAATTTTGTCCCTTTTTGTTAGATTGGCATCTAAGAATGGCTCGCAAAGCCGAAGCATAACAGCACTGAGATTAACAAACATGCCTGAACTTGCGCAAGATATTGGATCAACCTGTGAGCAAGTCAAATATAATGCAAGGTTAAAGGAGAAGAGAGGTGTTGAATTTTTCCAACATACATTCTTAGAAAGGCAAACCACAAAACATGTACCAGAAGAACTATGGTCTCTGCTTGTACAAAAAACATTCTTAGGCAGACATACCAGGAAAAAAAGTACTAGCATGTCATTTGGTACATGGAATTACTAGCCATGACCAAGTCTCATAATTTGTTGCTCACTGTAACTTGAAAAATGTCATCTCAGCAACAATTTACCTGCATATGAGCCCTTGAAGTGTTTCTGTTGATCACCTCTGCAAGATACTCGAGGACACTCTCACGAGTGTCTGTATTCTTAAGAAGACACAGAAGAACTTCTGCCAGGCCATCATATAAGTTATTCATGACAGTTTTGATTGTTGTGAAAGAAGATAACAAATCAGCTGGACGCCGAGTTGATGCTTCTGAGAAGCACTGCTGGCTGGTGTTTGAAAGAGAGAAAATCCATATGAGATAACCTTCTTAAAAGTTAAAATCATTATAAAGCTATGGATCCATATCAAAAAGAAAGAAAATAAAAAAGAGATGGAAGTTAGATGAAGACTTCAGTAGAGTTATTTCCAACAAACGGGAATATTTTTATTTTTTTAATGTTTAAAACTTGAAGCTATTTGCATGAGAGAAGGTGTACGAGTTATACATCAAAAGAAGAAGGAGGAAAAGAAAACTTAGCAACAAACGATGGCAACTTAAGTGACAAATCAATATTCTTTTCCCAATGTGTGATTGTTTTATTAAAGAAGATGTAGACATACTGTTTGATGTGATGATTCTCACTTTTTTACATCAAGGCTTCAATAGAGATATTTCCAACAAACAAGAAAACATTTATTTTTATTTTTTTCATTTTTTATGTTTAAATCTTGAAGTTATTTCCATCAGAGAAGGTGTACAAGTTATACATCAAATCAAAAAAAAAAAAAAAAAAAAGAAAAAAAGATGGCAATTTAATTGGCAAATCAATATTCTTTTCCCAATGGGTGAATTTATTCTTAGGGTCAGTTTGGTGCAATAGAAAAGGGAGGAAAGGGAAGGGAAGGTGATGGAGGGGGATTAAAAATTTGTGTTTGGCAAAAATTGTTGGAAGGAAACGGAAGGGTTTGGAGGGTTAACACAAGGCCTGAATAGTGTTTTGCTTATCCTCCCAAGAATGGGAGGAAAATAAAGGAAAGTGAAGGGGAGGGTTGATATATTATTTGTGATGCCTAATTTGCCCTCAAGATTACATATACATACAAGTTAGCAATTGCAGAGAGAGTGAGAGACGGCCAGTGGCTAAAGCTTGCGAACGGCGAACCCAAACTGGAACAGCGGCGACAGAAATTGAAAGATATGGGTTTTGATTTTCTGAACAATCTGAAATGATATATCGATACGGGTTTTGAACCTTTGATTCTTGCAGACAGATAGATAAACTGAAATATATAGGTTTTGAACTTCTGATTCTTGTAGTGCAGAGAGAGAGAGAGAGAGAGAGAGAGAGAGGGAGCAAGTTCAGAGTTGAGAACGAGAATAGAGATGGAGGCGGAGAGAATGGGGAGGCTGAAATGATTTGCCCTAAATTTTGTTTTTTCTTTTCTTATGGCCCATCATCCATGTGTGCACAGAGGCCATTTATTACCCTTTTTTTTTTTCTTTTTTTTCTTTTTTTGTAAGGAGGTTGCTAAAATTTTGCTATTGCATTATTTTTAGTACTAAATACATAAATGTAAAAAAGGTATGTACCTGTTTGTGTGTGTTAAATGTATAGGTGATAATATATATTTATCTTTTAAAATAGAAAAGGGTATAATAGTAAATTTCTTAAAATAATTTTATTTCCTTTCTTTTCCCAAACATGATTATTATACTTCCCTTTCTTTTCCTTCATTAATCAACCAAACACGATGGAGGGTTAAAATTATCCTTCCCTTCCCTTCCCTTCCCTCTCCCTCTCCCTCTCCCTCATAACTACTGTTATCCTTTCCCTTCAAATCCATCACACCAATCATAGCCTTAGGGTCAGTTTGGTGCAATGGAAAAGGGAGGAAAGGGAAGGGAAGGTGATGGAAGGTGTTTAAAAAATTGTGTTAGGCTAAAATGGGTGGAAGGAAAAGAAAGGAGAGGGAAGGCTTTGGAGGGTTATGTATAGCTTTATACAGTAGTTTTCTTATCCTCCCAAAAATGGAAGGAAAGTGAAGGCAATGACTGATGGAGGAGTTGTGATGCCAATTTTACCCTCAAGATTACACAAGTTTGCAAAACAATATACATACAAGTTAGCAATTGCAGAGAGAATGAGAGACGGCGGGCCAGCGGCTGAAGCTTGCGAACGGCGAACCCGAACTGGAACAGCGACGATGGAAACTGAAAGATATGGGTTTTGATTTTCTGAACAATCTGAAATGATATACCGATACGGGTTTTGAACTTTTGATTCTTGCAGACAGATAGATAAACTGAAATATATGAGTTTTGAACTTTTGATTCTTGTAGTGCAAAGAGAGAGAGAGAGAGAGGGTAAGTTCAGAGTTGAGAACGAGAATAGAGATGGAGGCGAGATTGGGGAGGCTGAAATGATTTGCCCTAAATTTTTTTTTTCTTTTCTTGTGGCCCATCAGGTATAGGAGACTATATATATATATATATATATATATAATAGAGATGGAGGCGAGATTGTGGAGGCTGAAATGATATGCCCTAATTTTTTTTTTCCTTTTCTTGTGCAGGGATAGGAGACTATATATATATATTTAAAAATATAAAAGGGTATAATAGTCAATTTATTAAAATAATTCCCATTCCTTTCTTTCCCTTTCTTTTCCTAAACATGATTATTATCCTTCCCTTTCTTTTCCTTCATTAATTGACCAAACACAATAGGAGGTTAAAATTATCCTTCCCTTCCCTTCCCTTCCCTTCATAACTAATATTATCCTTTCCCTTCAAACCCACTGTACTAAACATAGCCTTAAAGAAGATGTAGGCATGCTTTTTGATGTGATGATTCCACTTCTTTACATTTAGGCTTTAACCACAAGTAATACTATGTTATGCATGCCACATATGATTAAAGGTTTATCAAGGAAGAAATTCACAGATAATATGCATTAATTCAAGGAATCTCGGTTCTGCTGTCATGTTAAACTGATATCAAATTATTGATTAAACGTCAAGACCTTCCTCACTTATTAAAAAAAAGACCTATTTCACCTGTAATGAGAAATTGAAATCCCACAACTCAAGTCAGCAAAACATAACATTTAGCCCATTTATTTTTAAGGAAACCAGCTACATGAATCTTTTTTCCTTTTTTGTTAAACTCTATCTAAAGCAATATCCTCCATTAATCATTTGAAATCAATGTCATTTCTTACAGTATTGACCTAGACCCATGATCTTTTTTACCTTCCTTGTCTTTTGACGACTTTATTGTGAAATAAATCACTATGTTGCCATGCATTTATTATTCTTCATTATGAATAGCCAAACCACCTTAAATGATATTACTTCATATTTCCTTCAACTAGTGCTACCGCTAACTTCTCGCAAATGTTCATTTATTATCCTATCTTTTGTTCTTTTTTTTTTTTGTTTAAGTATTGTCACTCGTCCATCTTAGCATCCTACCCTCATTTCTCTCAAAACATGTTTAATGTAGATTGTTCTTAGATTCAGTAATATTTTAGGAATTTAGTGTTTGATTCGGCTATAAAATAGCTTATATGTGATCAGGAGTAGATATTATTTTCGGATTGAAATTCAGATTCATGAAAGCTGATAGGGAATCCTACATGTGATTTAAATAAAAAAAACAGCATCAAAGTCTTTAATTTTTTTTAATAAGAATTTCTACTTATAAAAAAAAAATTAAAAAAATTAAAAATAAAAAATAAAAAAAATTGATAAGTAGCATCAAGGTCTTTAATTGCGCACAATATTTTGCAATGAGAAAAAAAAAGGGAAAAAATAAGAAGAAAAGGAGAAATGAGCAATCACACTATCATTGTTGCGTAAAAGGTAAGCACACACTTGATCAAGAGATTCAAAGCTGCAAATACTCCATTGATAAATAATTCACCTCAAAAAAAAAATAAATAAATAACCTTTTAAAAACTTGTGGGAGCCTTAAGAGAATCAAACAAAAGAATTAAGCTTTTGAACCCAAATCCTTGAGACTTCTATTTTTGGCTGCTACCATGGATTACCATAAAACTTTCCCTTTACTACATAGATCTTCAATAATTACATATTAATCTAGAAGCAGCACTCCACTTCATCCTATCTCTTCTGCCTTGCCTAATGAATCTACTTTGGCCAGCAGAACCCCTATATAGTTACAAACCAAATACCATGTCCTTGTTTTGCCAAACCCCAACCAACCAGACTCTAAAGTATTGCTAGGTAATTTAACTTAACCCTACTCTAGTTCCCTTAACCAAAACTATACCATTAACAGTGACATATTATAAAGTAACATCATAATTTTGCCTAGTAAGTTCTTTCATAACTAGTAAAAAAGATCAGGGTTCTCTCTCAATTCTTGGTGTATTCCTATTGTGATTGGAATCATTGGTCTCTCCTTTAACTATTATCACACTACGCACTGAATGATCAGACATCTTATGGAACACATTAAATTTTTTTGTTATACTTCTCGAAAACCTTGTGACAAGATTTTACCAAGTTGATACATAAAATATGGAGGTTTTCCTTTCCATTAGGAAAAGAACAATCTGCAGACAACATTTTGCCATATTACCATTTTTTAATTATAATTGTTTCTTGTCTTAATACTTTGCTTATCACCTTCTCTTGGAGTTCTGTAGCATAATTATAAGTTTGGCATAACAGAGAGTTCAACTTTGAATTCTATATATATTTTCACGAAACCTCCATTTATTGAGAACATGTTGTCTTTAAGATCCTGAACAAAATAGTCAACAAACCCAACCACCATCACTAATATTTTTTCCCCTTCTGATGAGATATCCAAACCTTGGCCAAGATAACCTCTGATCACATATTGACTAACACTCGATAAAATCCAAGAAGGTGGCAGCATAAAACGAGAGGTTTGAACTTGGTACCTTGAATACCTCGCTTCCTGACAACCATCATTGCCCATATACTCCCAAGTTGATAAGTCCCATGGTATCTTCTATATTCATCTGTTTCTGAAGTTTATTTCTACTATAGAAATTTTAATATTTTAAAAGTTCTTTGAAATTTCTAACCTCGTTAAGTTACCTAGTTCTTCTAACTTAAGCTCCCTACATTATTTTTTTTGTTTATTTCTTTTTATACGTAAATTCCAAATACACACCAAAAACTGGTGGTGGTGCTGATACATCCAATGTACATGCAATCTAAAGAAAAGGTAAAGAATCAATAGACAGGATAAAATTTTACAATTTAAGAAAACAAAGATTTCAAATGGTTTGCTTCAATCTATGAATGCGCATATACACCCGTTCAAAGGGTTCTATTCGCATCTTGTTTGTCCAATACATACCTTCCAAGGTTTTTCCGTCAACAGATATTTAAGATTTATAACGTATTCCTGGACAAATTGCTTCTCAGCTTCCATATTCTGCCACTAACTTTCATTAGCTGACAGTCAATTCCGTTTAGATTCCCCAAGTTCCTTTCTCGTCACACCTTTAAGCAACCAGTCATCTCATTCCACGTAACATTATTTCCTTCATTTAAAATCAAAATCCCTTTTTCAATTATCAAACTCTAGGGATTTAAGATTTTCACAGGTAATTTGCATGGTTTGGTACTTGAGTGTTTATTCTCATGCTCTTACTCCATTTCTCAAGACATATATCATCACACTCTCTTATTGATTTTGCAATTTTATTACACATTAGCTCAAATTATCAAACCTTTAACCTCTTCACACAAAAGTTAAAGTAAACTTGAGCAACTTAGTTTGCAATAACACCTCAAAGAATAAAAGGAAGCAAAACCCAGATAGCTTACACATCTAAAATAAAGCAGCAATGAGATGTTTAAACAATCAAACAGTAAAAAAATAAAATGTTGCATCCATTACTTGAGAAGTCATGTTATATGTATGATACTGATTCTTAGAGTAAAAAAAGAAGCATAGATGCATTAAACACTAGGAACTAACATGATAAAAGTAGCATGAGTAAAACAGAGAAGCGCACCACAAAAGCATAAGTGGAAGAGCCCTAAATGCAAACTAGTATTGGATAGGACAAAACCGAACTCACCCTACATCAGGCTGACTCTTGAAAATGGTATGATCCGGCAGAGCGCTGACATGAAAGAAGGGACCTAATATGCTTGTCATCTCTATAACGCGCCCATTCAAGTACATGCCCTTTGGAATCCACCAGGGGTGATTCACTAGGGACTTTGCACCAATTGGAAAGCTAACTAAAAACAGCAAAGCCCTTAAAGGCTGTTGAAAATTCCCAAGAGCGGACACTTTCAACACACTACCCCTCAAGTCCTCGTACAGTTGCTTCAATATGGGGTCCAAACTATCAAAATCCGCGTCCCTAAAAAACTCCTCCAAAAATCCTGGTGGGCTCCCAATCCCTCCACTACTACCAATCCCTCCAAATCCATCAAGCGAGCTCGAAACTTCAGAGAAAATCAGCGGCAACAATGGTGACACATTCGACTTATTCGTGTCCCAATTGGGAAACATATCGGGATTGCCCAAATGAATCCTACAATACGAGACAGCCAATTTCTTGGCTTGCTTAACAACTGATTCCATTTCAGACCTCAAAGCTTTATCCTTTATCGAAGTAATCTTCTTCCCCTCGTCGTGTGCGCGACGATAAGACCCGGTTAAATACGAAAACGGAGGTTCAGCCGATGGGTAGTTACCCGAAAGCCGATCAATTAAAACCCTTTCCATCAAATCCCTAGACAGTCTCAGCTCTTTGCCCTCGCTGAGAACTTCGGCTGCTGTCATCTCCAAATACACAATTCGAGAATCATTCTCCATCGAATCAATGAGCGATACAAGAAATATCTTACGGAGTATGACGTCCTCGATCTCCGCTGGAGACCTTTGAGGCTTTTGAGTCGCCATAGTACACAATAAATATAACTATAGATATAGGTGTATATATAATGAAATTCGATCTTAAGCTTCGATTAAGTTAGACAGTAGATGCAGAAACGAAGTGTTGGATATGCTGTCGACTGATTAGGGTTTCCATCATATCTGATTAATGGCGATTGAATAAATCATAACAGAAGAGGTTAGATAAGATAGAACGAAGAGTGGTGAACTTATATATATATATATATATATATATATATATATATATATATTTGTGTGTGTATCTATGGAGAGAGAGAAATTGTGCACTCACAAATCATTGTGTGACAAAATTGGAGATTTGACGACTAGAAAGAAAGAGAGTTTTGGGAATTATCGAGGAATCTAATTTTAACAAGGAACTGTATTTCACGAACTTGAGACGTATTCTTCTTTTATAGGAGACCTGTTTTTCCGTAACCTTGGTAATTTAGGATTGATGGAGATATATACTTTCTATATTAGTTTTTGGTAATTGGCCCTTAAACCCCACTACACTTTCATGGAGCAATTTCCAAAACTGTCTTATTTATCTACGTTTTTTTTTATTATTATTATTAGTGAGAAATTTTTTTATCATAATTGTTAAATATGTGTACTTAATTGTATTATAATAATTATATATTAAATATTTTTCGAAGTAAGGGGAAAACTTAGGGGCTAGACTCCAATCGCTTTAGGGTTTGAGAAAGGTTGGATGAGTTAAATATTCCGAAGAGACTATTTGTATTTTTTATTAAAACTGTATTTAGTTATTTAATTTATACATAAAAGGACACTCTCAACGGGACTCCAATTGCTTTAGGGTTTGAGAATGGTTTGATTTAGATATTCCGAGACTATTTTTTTTTAATTAAAATTGTATTTAGTTAGTTTTATTTATATATAAAAGGACATTCTCTATGCGCAAGCTGTTGGATAGTGTTATATACTCATCTATTTATACCTAATTATTTTTTCATCCGAATCCGACGTGAAACAAACCTTCCTTGTGACATCTAGTGTCTTCACCTTTACGGCACATCTTAAGTTGTAAAAAATAATAAAACTTTGTAATCCTTGCAATACTTTGTTATGAAAATTAATTAGTTATTTAACAATGAATATGACACAATTAGGCCTCAATTTCTTTTGAATTATGGTAAAGTTTGGATATTTTTATTTTTTTTTTATTTTTATTTTTTTCTCCTCCTCCTCTTTAAAGAGAATGGTAGGTATATCCTAAGTCACACAAGAGCGAATTTCAAAGTGGAGCTCTCGCTTAGAACGTAAGAACGACACGTGTTAAAAAAGATTATGTGATTTAAGGTATATTTCATTTAATTTTTTATTCAAACACAATCACTCTATATGTATAATAAAAATCACTTTTTATTTTCATTTTTATCTTTTACAAAATTAGAGTTGTCCATTCAATTATTTTTCGTTACATCTTTTATAAAATTAGAATTGTGAACACGAATGTCACTTCTCTACCAACATGTCTAATAAAGTATACTAGCATCATCTCCATTTTTACAAACTAACTCCATGTCCATTATAATGGTGGAGGGGCATTTCTTAAAATTTAAAAGGAAAATTTGTAAATTTCAGTACTCATCCTCTGAGAAAATTTTCAAGAATTCCATGCATAGTCAACTTACATGTGTATATTTTTTTGTGAAACATGTACACAACACGTGTATCAAACTAATCATGAAATTGCTACATGCTTCCACAATGACATATATGACCCTCCTTTAATTAATATTACACTACGCACCGAATAATCATACATCTTATGGAACACATTAAATTCTTTTGTTATACTTCCAACTTCTGGAACACCTTATGATAAGATTTTACCAATTTTTGTTTTTTAGTTGAATAAGATTTTACGAAGTTGATACATAGAATATGGAGGTTTTTCCTTTCCATTAGGAAAAGAACAATCTGCAGACCAAATTAACTGTACTAGTTTTTTTGTATCAAATTCTTAATAGATTGTATTTCCGGGCTTTTGAGGATTGAGTTAGATCTTGTGAATATGACCACTGGGCTAGACCTACAATAAAGGGTGAAAAAAGAAAAGACTGGACTAGCAAGTACATTAAAATGTAAAAGAGTTATAGCCTATTTGGGATTATTTTCACTTTAATTTTGAAAAATTGTCGTCAGATGTGTTTGGTAATTATTAAAAGCGTTTTAAATAATTACCAAATTTTAGTTTTGTAGAGGTTGAAGCTATAATTTGGATCTTTTTAAAATTACGTTTTAATTAGAGGTTGAATATTTTAGATAATTATTTTTCATTACTCAATTATGTCCTTTTTATTTTTTTAAAGACAATTACACACATTTCTTAATAAAGTTGTTATTAAAGGACATTATTGTAAAATTAATAATAAAAATTTTATTACAAAATAAATTAAAAATAATTTAATTATAAAAGTACTTATTATATATTGTTAAACACCTAATATATATATATATATATATATATATATATATATTTTCAATTGCAACCCCAAACCTCTTAGTGATGTGAACCCAAATGACTAGTGATGTAGGACACCTCTTACACCGAGGCCTCGTCCACTAATAAAATAATCCTTCTTTTTAGTCAAACTAACACTCAATTCATATATATTTAATTACAATTTTTTAAGGATAGAATCACATAAATCTTCCTAGCAACACCAATCCTTTGCTTTGCCCCGCCGATAAAAGACAAAACACGGGTTACACCCATTTTTAAATTTAAACCTGACATATATATATATATATATATATATTTTTCCTATCTCTGCTCCCAGTATCTCATTCACATCTTTATTTTCCTTTCTTTGCTCCCATCTACGTATCTCACACCCATGGTCATCCAAATCTTTTTTTTTTTTGGGCCAAACATTCCAAATCCTAATATTTATTACAAGACCTTCACTTTTTAGAATAACAAAAATTCTTTTAATTTTGAAATAGTTTCAGGCAGTTTTTTAGAATCATATAAATAAAAACAAGTATAGTTTTAAAATCACTCACTTTGAATGTATCTTCCTTTAATTATGTTTTTAGAGAACAACACATTGAAAATTGTCTTTCCTACATTTTTATGTTATTTTTAATTTTTTTATATCTTAAAACTATTATTAAAAAAATTAAACTATCCATTTCTATTTCTCCCTTCTCAAAATCTACCTCAACTATTTTTTATGCATGCTATAGATAAAAATTAATCCTTTTTTCACTCAATTCTATGACAGAATGATTGGCGGGTGGGAAAAAATATAGCTGTGGGTTTAACCCTAAAAAATAGATTTAGCACATATTTGATATTTCTTTTTAAGTTTAAAAGAGGTATATATATACACTACAGTGAAAAGAATAGAAGAGAAGAGAAGCAGAGTTAGTTATTCGTTTCGTGACTGGTACGACGCCTTCTTCTCCTCCTCCATCTTTTTTTTTTTAATTTTATTGTTAAACTTCTTACATTACAGTGGTGAATTTTAAGTTATTATTCTGTACTGTGCTAGGGTTTTCAGAAGAATTGGTTGTCAAAGTTTGTTCCTTTTTCATGTATCCCCTTGTGTAATGTTGTTTCTTTTATGCACTCCCTGCAAAGAGAATGTTGTTGTTTACTAATCAATGGTTGGTTTAGAATCCATTTTGATTTAATAAAATACCCCCTCTTTTGGTTTTAGCAAATAATTTGCCCTTTTTTTTTCTTTTTGATTATAGAAATCTCTCTTGTGTAAAGGTGCATGTTAAATAATCAAAGTTTGTTGGACCATTGATTTATAGCATTTTTCTGTTCTATTGAGAGATGTTTTGGAATTTTTGGTTTCTGCCTGTATATTATTTTTTTCTCCATTGTTGGCAGCTTGTTTGCTTAGGGCTATCTCTAAGAGTCGTGTTGGAACAATGGTAGTGTTTGCTATAATGTGTCTATATATTAATTTGTTTTGATTACATGGGAATTAAAGTGGTGAACTGGATCTTTAGTAAACTGTTTGTCTTCTTCCCTTGAAACTTGATTTTTTTTTTCTTTCCCTTTAAGGTGAGGGTGTTGATGTTGTTGGAGAATTAATGGGGGTAATTTCTTTCTTGTACAATTATGATGTTTTGGATAAAAAGGCATTAAAAATTTTGGGGTAGCAATGCCATTTTACACTAATTTTGATGCGGAAAAGTGATTTGGAGTGTTTTTAAAAGTTATTTTCAAATTTTCTATCCAGATTTGGCCAAACCTCAGGCATAACTCCTCTTTTTTCTAGGTTTTAATTGGATAATATTAAACATATATGCAATAAACAATGCCATGCTTAGATTTGAGATATGGTGTTTAATTTATTGAGTTGTGCAAATCTGGAAATTTTATTCCAATAATTGTTGTTTGGGCTTAGAAGATACAAATTCCAAAATCGATTTTGTTACTAAACAAAAAAAATTCCATTCAGTTGCTGGGTTTAGAAAATCTGGAATTCTTTTTTATATTTCTACCTTTCTATTTCTGCAGCTCACCAAATTTGGGACAGCATCTCCGCCCTGTATTCCGCTCATTAAAGTCTGACTACACCCCTTTACACTAATCTCCTCTCAGGCCTCCCTACTTTTTGCCCGATCACCGTGTTATCTACTTCGCCAGCAGCAAAGATAGTCAGGTTGTCTCTAAGAGTCTAAATACTTGCTATATTTCTTTCTTTGGATACATATTATATATATATATATATATATATATATATATATTGATCGATTTCATAAATATATTTATATGTACATATAAATTTCATACATACTTTTATATGTATATATGTGTTTGTGTGTGGGAAGATAAATTTTTCAAAATAAAAAAACAAATAGGTTTTAAAGTGGCTTCAAAAAGATGAATAGTCATCAATTTTGAAACTAAATTGATCTTTAGTTGTCACTTTGTCAAAAAAATTTAATAATTTGAAAGGTTAGGGTTTTGATCTAGAGATGATACGGATGAAGCCGATATTACATTCATGGACAACATCTGTCAATGCCGGTGGAGAAAGCCTCATCGTACATGTAACTACCCTTATCCTATCTAGACACAATAATTTTCGCTTTTGGCTCCCTCGGCCCACACACTTCCCAGGGGGTCACCCATCTTGGTACTACTCCTGGTTAAACACGCTTATCTCTGGAGTTCTGGGGGTTCACGGCTTTAAAACGCGTTGTGTCATAAAAGGATGTTGAATCTACATGTAACACTTGTCCCATCCACACCTAGGCAATGTGGGATTGTGCACCTATAGCTTGCCCAGTGTGGTAGCTTACTGGTGCCACCTGCATACGCTCACACACACCCGCCCACAATGGGTGACCCCCTTGGAAGTCTCTGGTCCGAGAGAGTCAAAAGCGGACAATATTGTGTCTGGCTAGGGTGAGGGTTGTTACAAATGGTATCAGAGTTTGACTTAGTCGGAAGTGTGGTCAATGAGGACGTTGGCCCCAGAAGGGGGTTGATTGTGGTGACCTTATGGGCTGGTGTGTGCAGGTGGCACCAGTATGCTACCACACTGGGCGAGCTACAGGTGCACAATCACACATCGTCTAGGCATGGATGGGGCAAGTGTTATATGTAGATTCAACATCTTTCTATGACACAATGCGTTTTAAAGCCGTGATGGTTGTGAACCCACTAAAATTTCAGAGTTAAGCGTACTAAACTGGAGTAGTACTAGGATGGGTGACCCCTTGGGAAGTCTCTGGTCCAGGGGAGCCAAAAGTGGACAATATTGTGTCTGGCTAGGGTGAGGGTTGTTACAGTACACCCCTCCCAAAATTCACACTTTGGTCCTTCGTCTTCCTTGTGCCAATCCTCTCTGGCGTTAGCAACAGACTTATTCGGTTGGAGTATCCAGAAAACACATCCTCAAACACGCCGGCGTTAAATGAGTTTGACGTGCGGTGAGAGAGTGCTTCACTGAGGAGTTGACTTCTTGTGTTGTACCACCAATTTTAAGTTGTTTGTATGCCTCCTAGATGTGTGAGTCAGTGAATCCACAGCTATTCATCGGTGATTGTTTAATTAATTAATTCTGACAATATAAATTGTGAAGGAGGATTTGGTGTTGTAAACAAATAATAGGAATTTGAGTGCAGAACCTACGGAGAAGCATGGGAGGGAGAGTGCAAAAGAGGTATGTGTGGAATTTAGATTCAATGGTCACTTAAGTGGAACATAATTTTAGGATTGACAACTATTTGGTCTTTTATAACTTCAAGGTCGGTTTAAAGCTATTATCTTTAATTTTGGTCACAAAAATCTAATTTATCTTGTATATATGCATACACACAGAAGTTTTTGTGATAAGAGTTTCATCTTTTTGTGCTTCCCTAACTTGTTCTCAGTATAACAGTTCAGTATGAGTTCCCGCAGGGTAAAATTCGGGATCTGCATCTTTCATGCAACTCATCTTCCAGAGTGCAGTGAAAACTCCCAAATGCGTGCTTACGTTGCAGGTTTTATTAAAAGTCAACAACTACATATGTTCCAATTCTATGCATATTTATCAACTTATTAGAGTGTAAATTAATTATTTATATCCTGTTAACATTCAGTTGCAGTTGGGAAGCATAGAGTGAAGAAAACTCGAACCAGCTGGCTTAACATGGGAAGCTCGCTTTGGTTTTCCATCTTATTTTTCACATTAGACATGTCGGAGGTTGATCAAGAAGAGGTCATGGTTTCTATCAAGTTATACCGGAAGGATGCCAATTCCAAAAATGACGAGTACATTGGTGGGGTGTACAAATCTTTAAATCAGTTTTGGAATGAGAGGGTGATGAATGAGCACGACATGTCGTGTGATTTACCCTTGAAAAAGGATTTGGGAGAATTTGTTGGACGGATATATTTTACTTACTGGTTTATTGAAGATCCCTGGTGGAACAAATTGAGTAAGAAAAAGATTTCCTGTACGCCGATTTTCTGTGGCTTAAACTCTAAGGTGTAATATTTGTCTCTTTCACAAATTTCCTTTTAAACTAAGTTGTGTGAATTTGCCTGTATGTGAAAGACAGTTGCATGAATCAGATGAAGGTTCTGAATGACATGGGTGAGAGAACTGAAAAAAGTTTGAAATTCATTTATTGATAGCTTTTGGAAACTGTTATATAATAACAATCTTTTTTTTTTTTTCTTTTTTTTCTTTTCCAGTTACCTGAAAAATGTTTCTCAAAATATTTTGTCATAACTAAACTAAAACATGCTTTGGATTGTGCTTCATGGGCTGCTTGACTGTCCCCGTTATTGAATGCTTCCGATCACATTTTCAGTAACAATTTAACGTAGAAATGCATGATTTTCAATATATTCAACTTGGAAAAATTAGGAAATCCATTATATTCCTCCTACGTGGTTTTATTTCTGTTTTCTGAAATGAAAACTCGTGATTTTAAACATTTCTTTTTAGTTGGCCATTTTTTTCCAAATGACTCTTTGTATTAAAATGCTATATAAATTGAGAATAAGGCCATTCAAATACCAGACAAGCTTTAAGTTAGAAGTAAATTTCTTCAGTTTTTCTTTTATGATTGGTGTGGTCATTTATCGCAAACAGTATTCTCATGGAAGCAAAAAGATCATTGGTTTCTCTTACAAAGCTAATGAATATGCTTCGATAGAGCCCAACTTTACAAGCCGTGTAGAAAGAGCCTTGGGCATTCAGGACTGGTTGGAATCACAAGGTCACCAGTACATTGTCATCGACGGCAAAGATGGATCTGATTGTGGTTAGTGCATAGACAAAATTACTGTATATAATGTATGTACTTTTGTGCATGTGAACCTGAATAACACGTTAACAGGGAACAAGTAACATCAAATAACTGAGATGAAGACGAAAAGCTATTTTTTCTAATTTTTATTAATTGAAATTTTTGAAAAGGAATATGGTTGAAATATTGTGTTGTGAAGTTATTGCTTCTTGGTTATAGAGAATAACAAAATCTTCTGTTTTAATGATTCCCTGTTGCAAAACTTGAAAAGCATATTCCTGATCTCCACGTGCTGATAACTACCCCTTCCCATCCGACCTATGCAACGGCTGAAAGGATCAAGAAGGCCAAAAAATTGCAACTGGTGCTCACAGCTGGAATTGGTTCTGATCTTGTTGATTTGAAGGCAGCAGCTGCTGCTGCTTGTTTAAAAGTTGTAGACGTCACTGGAAACAATGTAGTCTCTGTTGCAGATGATGAGCTCATGAGAATCCTCATTCTTGTCAAGAATCTTTTGCCTCGATACCATCAAGTTTTCAGCAGGGAGAGGAATGTTACGGCTATTGCTCATAGAGCTTATCATTTGGAGCCTTTCAACTGTAACCTCCTATATCATGATTTGGTGAAGATGGACTCAGAATTGGAGAATCAAACAGGGGCAAAGTTTGAGGAGGATCTTGACTCAATGATTGCCCAATGTGACATAATTGTCATCAATACACCTCTCATGGAGAAAACAAAGTAAGTCTTTCTTCTCACCCCCAAGCCGCCTTCAACTAGAGTTCTTTCTAATTTTGAAATTAGTAAATGGGAAACTAACATGCATATGGACGATAAATTTAGATGAAGTTATGACATTTTTCAAACGTGGGGCAATATAAATCTCAATTGTTCTTGTTAACTTCTAATAAATGTTGGGAATTCAATCCAACCTCTTGAATTGGCCAAAATGGTTGCAATGTTTTGAATGGGTGACCTGCCTTCGGTGCAAGCAGTTTATGATTATCTTAATTGGAAGCCCATCAAGCATGTGTTTAGTTCTTTTTGGGCATTTGTGAATTTATATCCTCGGTTGCTACTATTTAATGAGATCAAAATTTTGAGTTCTTGACTAAAACTTAAAACAACATTTATAGTTGCCTATGTTATTATTTTAAAAAATTTTATTTTTTATAAATACTTAAATATTACATTTTTCTGTTAGTTTTATTCCTAAATGGTATTGCCAAGTGATGTATCAAGGCAGCTCACTGGTGACTGCTTCACCACTGCTAGTTTGGAACTTAAAATGCTTGGATTCTTTTCTTCACTTTAAGATGTATAATGTCCATCAGTCCATATGTACTTGTGAGGTGAATAACAATTCCGAGACCTAATCCACATTATATGATACGTTAATGCTTCTTTCAATCTATTATGTGGGTCAAAATAATGATGGTCTTTTGCTTTCATTTTTTAACACTATTGGCGACATGTTTATACTCTATTCAAAACTAATTACAGAGGGATGTTTGACAAAGATAGGATTGCTAAGCTGAAGAAGGGAGTTCTAATTGTTAACAATGCTTGGGGAGCAATCACAGATGCACAAGCAGTTGTTGATGCTTATTCTAGCGGACAAATTGCAGGTAATTTCAACATTGTGAATTTTATGGATATGGATGTTATCTATCTTTATGGAATACAAGTTGAGATATTCAATTTGTGAGTAGAGGGACTGCAATAGTAGTAATCAACTACTGCTTTCCTTTTAATACTGAATTGGTAGGTTACAGTGGGTATGTTTGGTACCCACACCCAACTGGGCTTCGGAAATGCATGCCAATGCCAATCCAACCTATGACCCCTCGTATTTCTGGCACTACCGTTGATGCGCAGGTATTCAAGCTTTTAATTTTCCTTTCTTATTGTATTACAGTATTGTTGCTTCTTTTGTTTTCTGTTTCTTGTTTGTAACTCCAATAAAAATATTGAAATGACGCTAGTTGCAATATGCGGCTGGAGTGAAGGATATGCTAAACAGGTACTTAAAGGGTGAACATTTTCCTGCACAAAATTACATTGTCAAGGAGGGTCAACTAGTAAGCTACTGAAGATGATGCTAGTAGGGCTCGTTAGTGGGATCTCTCACATCTGAGGGTTTAAACTTCTAACCTCTTAAACAGTTTTAATATATACAGAGTAGTAGTGTAACATAACTCTTTGGGAATGGGTTTTAAGAGCAGACAAAAAAAATGTAAAAATTCTATAAATAAATTTAAAAAACAACGATATGCATGAATTTAATTTGGTTCGACTCGAGCAAAATCGAAACAGAAAGATTGACTTACTATATGGGTGTCTGAATGGTGTGAGGGTATTTTCGACTCCCAGCTTAATCTCTCATTGCACACAGATTGTTTCTTTGACTAGAATTGTACTTGGTTATTTCCAAGAAACCAAATGGATCTGAAATTAATGCTAATAATGTGTAATTAATCTCTGAGTTTATTTGGAAAAGCCAAATCCAAATTGTATTTGAGTTTATATTCATTCGGTAAATTAGAGAAGTTTGGATTCATTCTCAGAAATTAGTTCTTCAAATTTAGCCAAGAAGTGACATCAATGTATTGTGTTTCGATCATATTGAAGAGGTATAGCAGTTTTGAACTCTTTTTCAGGAGGACTGAGAAAGTTCATTATGAAGGTAAAATCACACACACACACACAAATACTTCCAGTGTACTATAAATTTATGTTAATATTAGATACGATTTGTCTCGAGTGCGACTGTGTCTTGCACTTGTGCATTTGCCCTTCATATTTTTTATAAAATAAAGAGTTGTGGATGCTAATGTCACTTTCCTACTGTTACGGGGTTGGGACCTTGACAAGCCCCCTGACAGCCATGGGATGCTGTCAGCGTGCACCGTGGGTGATCAGTGGCATTTTTGTAAATATGGCAAAAAAGTGAAGCTTGAAGTTTTAGCTTGGGATTTTTATGGGAGGTACCTTGAGTCCATAAAAGATGGTTGGCGCAGACGGCACTCGATTTGAATGTCGTGCACTTTGAGACATTTATATGTGAGTGCAGATTAGTGGACTTGGCACGGGCTAAGTTCACAAGGTTGGCTCAGATGTTGCTTAAAGCATGGACCACACAAGTCATGGACGTGTGGCATAGTCAAGTCAGTGGGCGTAGTCAAGGCTCAGCGTGCAAGGTTGGCTCAGGAGACTCAGACATGGCTTATGGTTACAGAAGATGGCTAAGTGGGTTCAGGTGGTTGGGGGAAGTTACACTTCCCACTAAGTGGGCTTATTTGGTTGGGGGAAGTTACTAACACTTCGCACTAAGTGGGCTCAGTTGGTTGGGAGAAGTTACTAACACTTCCCACTCGTGTGCATATATTATGGGAGGGGACAACACACAGGTGGTTAAAGTTAGTTTTCTTTCACTATGCTGATATATAGAAGGTGACAGATAATGTGTAACTTCCTGTGGACAAGTGGCATGAGCAGAGCGTGCCAACAAGCTAGTAGTTGGGCTTGTCAACTACATATGTAGTGTTGGCACACTTAGTGGGTGCCAACATGACCCTAGGTGGATGGGAGTGTCATCCACCACTTTAGTGGGTAGTTGTGGATGGATGGGAGTGTCATCCACCACCTTAGTGGGCAGTTGTGGGCGGTTTTAAGAGTTTGCCTATATATTGCTAATGTGGGTTCTATAGAGAGAGCAGATTGAGAATGAGACACAGAGTTGTGTTGTGAAAGACTCTTGTATGCTTCTGCAAATTGAGGCCTTTCCTTGTACTGTTTTGTGAATAATAGTAAAAGGTTAGAAGCCTTGTGCTTCTGTAAAATTCGTAGTGTTATTGTCTTTACATTCTTGCAACTATACTTATGTGTGAGAGTATTTTACTTGCGGTGTGTTTTAGGCAACAAGTGTGAGTTGACTGAGCTAAGTTAGAAATTCAGATAAAAGTAGTTCATATTTCTGGCTTAGTGCCATTATAGGCACTAGATTCACGTTCAGAATTTACCCTTTGATACCTATCAACATGCCTAATAATGTATGCTAGCATCGTCTTCATTTTACCTCCATGTCAATTATAATTCTGGAGGGCCTGGAATGGAAAATTTGTAAATTTCACTATTCATTCTCTTGCCCTTTTTCTTTTCTCGGTAAGTAAATGGATATTTGGGAATTGGGACTCGTGAAATTTAGATATACAAATTGACAATGGTTAGAAGAATAATGTATAAAGAAATATGGAACAGCGCGCGCGCACACACACAATCAACATGAGAAAATAAATTGACATTTGTAAAATGCTCTGAAGTTCTAAATACAAAACTTGTCGTTATTCCTGTTGGCTTCCGTCATCAAAAACTAGACGGCGAGACAGCCTCTGAAAAAGATTTACAGGGAGGAGTGCAAATTTACAGATTTAAATGGATCCATTCAAACAAATTTAAGGATTTAATCACTAAACTCGTCAATGGATGGAGCAAAGAATGAGCTGTTTGCCGGACCGAATAGCAGCTCCAAGCAGAATGCTGGGCCACATATTGACTTCCCTTTGCTTCCAATTTTATCCAAATCCCGCACAGAAAACTGTCCGGACCAGAAGAATACTTATAAATCAAAATTAAATTGAATTAGTTGTTAACAGTCTTACAGATGGTTCCGACAAGCATATCATGGATGACAGACTTAAGCCTAAAGTTAAGAACAGAAATATGTATTCAAAACAGTCCAATGTATGGAATATCCTATCACTCTAGTTTGTCTTTGTAAATGACACAGACACAAAAATGCCCTCTTTAAGATTCCATCACTAAATTGGGTGTTGCCATGTCCTAGAGTTACTACACAACTCTAGACAATTGAAATCATAGAATTCTCCAGAAATAAGCATTCATAAGACGGGCTGACATTTCTCCCTATTTAAAGTAGGCGACAAAGAAAAATCCACTAAAATACCTGTAGCATGCTATTCCTGATGAAAGCTGTATTGAAGCAAGTATAGAAGAGACGTCCTCCAATCATTTTTTCATAGAATATGACACGAACGTCTCCGTTAACCTGCAAGAAAATATAGGCCATTCCATGCTAATGGAATCAAATGGTAGAAAAGTATATAAAAATATAGCCCACTTCATGCTATGGAATCAAATGGTAGAGAAGTATATAAACACGTACACACATGCTTAAAACTGTGAGGAAATTTCCAAGAATTCAATGCAAAGTCAACTTACACATGTATATTTTTTGTGAAACATATACGCAATAAGTGTATCAAACTAATCATGAAATTGCCACATACTTCCACAATGGCATATATGGATCAATTCTAATAACGGGCAGTGCTGATTCCTCATTCAATTTTAATTCCAAGTTTTTACCATATTATTCAGGAATTTTTTGCTCAGTTAATTTCTTTGATTTCCCTAATTTTTCACTATGTTTTCAGCAACTTATTCCAAAATTTCAACTGATTCCTGGATCCTCAATTTGTCAAGGTAGATAAAATTAAGTAAATGTATTATCAATGTCTTACTTGTACGGGTTTCTCAAAGTAATAGTCGAGACAGGTTTTCTGGTAGATTACAGGACTCTCGGTGTCCATTTGGACAACCAGACGAGGTTCTTCCAATCCCAAATTCTCCCCTTCTTCATCTTCATCTCTCTCGATGAAGGAGAAATAATAGCGAGGGCTATCTGGTCTCTGATAACCTTTCTCAATTCGCCTGCAGCAACTCTTGGCAACTTCAACAGGTGGACAATATCGCTGACCTGGAACCTGTTGAAAATAAGTACAAGGTAGTTCCCATCAAATAATGAAAGGCATTGAAAGCTGATAACTAACCTATATGTGTGCCCGCCCACACATACACATTTTTTTGATAAGTGTGCCGGCGCGACAAAATTTTAAAGGCTCACACCCAACGATTTCAGGATATCCCATCAAACAAGCAAAATAAGAAAGAAAAAGGCAAATTAGAAAAACAGAAACTAGCAAACATATGCTGTTTGGACATCTCATTAAATAGTTTTAATCAAGAACTAGACAGAAACATGGCGTATGGCATCAGCCAGTTTTAAATCAGATTGAAAAACAGATAACAGCTATAAAATATTTACACCTAGATGCATTTAAGTAATTAGGTTTCACTAAATAGGAAACCATTACTACATATAGGGCTGTGAATGAACCAAACTTTTGACAAACAGCTCGAGCTCGGCTTGCTAAGAGCTCGATTCGTCTTCGTTTGTATAAAAAACAAACCGTGCTCAAACAGAACTTTCAAGCTCGATAACAACCCCTGCTCGGCTCGTTTGTTCGTGATCATGTTTGTGAACAATGCTCGTAAATGCGTTCGCGAACACATGTGCTTATATATATAAAAAAATATAACTATATATGTATATATATAACACATAAATATATACCTAATAGTGAAAACTTATACATTAATATCTATCTAAAAATGAGAACCTAAGGTCCGTTTATATATAAGACTCTTATAAAGTGGAATATCTTGGCCAAACTAAGGATCCATGAGCCCATAGATATAAATAAGCCCCAACCTAATCTAACATCATCCTTCTTCTATTCATGTTCTAAATTGCCGCTGGCATCTCTCTCACACACTCCTACCGGTACCAGCGTTGTGTGTCTTTTCTCACACGCAAACATGGAAAGCATTACAGGAACATCACTTTGAAGATCTGAGAGAAGATTGGAGTGAAGATAAGTGGAGAATTTATAATTTTATACAGAAATTTTTTGGGGGAAATCTCTGATAATGTAATTCATTTTTCCTGAATGCATCTATGTAATGTGTGTGTGTCACGCATACATGATGGTATCAACATGTCTTTGCCTTTTTGTCAACAAGCTTCGAGCCCAGCTCGAATTTGTCGCGAATATTATCGAGCTGAGCTCAAACACCATGTTGTATAGCCAAGCCAAAGGGATTAATTAATATTTCCTAATAAGCATTAAAAAGTCAATTCTAAATAGATTTAAAAGTCAATTTTAAATACAGAAAAAGAAACACAAGCAACATGGTCAAACTCTTATGTGAACTCTCCTCATTAAGTTATTTTTGGGATTACTAGCATCCTATTATGTGGGATCCTAATTATTTTATCATATATACCATCTTAAAGGCGTGAGATGGGCTAACCTCTTGCAACTCTGTGACCACAAAGAAGACACGTTCAGTGTTCACCGTGTCGTATAGTCGGATTCGCCGCAATTCTCTACTGCATGGTTGAGGCAAGGTCAAGTCTGGAGGTCCATAATCAACTCCCCTAGGAAAAGAAAGAACATTCTCCCAGTATCCGACATAACGACGTTGGCTAGGTATGGAGACCTGTTTAACACATCCAAATTATTCCACTTGTCCAAAAACTTCACGTGTTCGAATAAACAACATTCTTAATATGACTGGCAGGGATGGATCCAACACCATCCTTAATATGTTTAAAGTTCAAACAGACAACATGTATATTTTTTTTTAAGGTCAAATAGACATGTAGTTAATACGAGATTAAGTAACATTAATTCACCATATAAGAAAAAAGAAACTAAAGTACTCACAGCAATGGATCCAATACCATTGTGAATACGTTCAAACAGAGACCATATAGATAAAACGTTATTAAAAGCAATTGCCACTCTATAAGAAAAAGGAAAATAAAGTATTATATGCATAAAATTCTGATCTTTATGGTGTTCTATTAGCAACTTGGGTATTGCCTATATGTTCATGTAATGTGCACAAACAAGAATAAGACTGGCAGTAATGGATCCAACAACATCCCTAGTTTGTTCGAAGAGGAAATATGGATTACACAATATTATGTAACAATAATTTTGCAATTAATAAGCAAAAAGAATGTAAAGAATTCTATGGATAAGAATATCTACGTTTTATGGTATTCTGTTCACAACTGAGCAGCTCTCTTATGATTTTATAATTTTTTTCATAAATTTTCTCAACAGATTTTCCCTTTCAACATTTTGGTGTGATTTCTATTTACAACCAGTTTATTACAGATGCTGTACTTAATGGTATGTCAATCCATCAAACTACTCAAATAGACAGATAGAATATTGTTAGCATCATACTCAAACTAATTTTTTTTTTTCCTAGTTGGTACTCACACGCTTATCTCTTCTGAGACTTGAACCCCTGACCTCCCTTTGGGAGGTAAGAGGCCGATACCGCTAGGCCACTGGCCGTTGGTCATATTCAAACTAAAATTTTTACTCGTATGTATAGATAGTAATGGAAAATCGGCATATTTCAATAAACTTATGTGCTATCTATGTATGGATATAATGATTGAAACTATACACAAAGCAGATAGTGTAAATGGAAGATCTAACCAACTAATATCACGACAATATCTTCAAAACTATTTCTCACATCTAACTACTTAGCTACTTCAGCAAGCTGTCACATCTACAATTAAGTAATCATAAATTTTGGAAATATTGAAAAGATTATATTCCAATCATGTCAATTCCAAATCAAAGATTTCATCCTTAAAACAGCAAATATTTCTTTTTACCATGCAAATTTTTTTTTTTATTATTCAGGGAAAAAATAAAAAACGAATCTTATTCATCCATCAATGAATGGTTCATTTATTCCGATTTGTCAATAAAACCAGCTTAAAAATTTGATTTTCTGTACATAAGAAAGGGCTAGTTTTCAATTCAATAAGCTGCTAGCGTTGCATTTAATAGTCACCTAACTTCACAAACCATGCACAATAGCCCATGATATACCTAATTCGACTTACTCCTTCATTATTGGTGGTCCGTTTATGTGCATAAACCTGAAGAGCCTCCTCTGCTGACATGCCACAGTAAACAAGGTAGGCACATACCATTAAGCCAGTCCGACCTTTGCCTGCCTGCGTTGTGCAAACAAAAAGCACCAATCCTAAGCCAAATTTTGATAGGACAATAAAATTGTTAATGCACTCTAACATACAGGATGCTGAACAAACAATCACATACAAATTTCATTTTTCAAATCTACTTTCTGTGCAGGGGCAGAGCCAGAATTTTGTGTCAAAAGTTCCAGAACAGTGTGGGGGTGAAAATGGATGACAGGAGCGAGGGGTTGGACCCCTTGAAATATACATAGCTCTGCCTTTGTTTCTGAGATAAACCCAAAAAAATTAAACATCAGCATTCAGCTATTCCTGCCTTCTTGGTACAACAGGATTTCACTGATTAGTTGTCACCAATAAGACTGTGCATTGTACAAGCATACGAAGTGGTTTTCCATTCTTTTCCCCCAACAGATGGACACTTAAATAAACTATCCTTGTGCTTATAGCGAAAAAACGGAGAACTTCATCAGTATCTCAATGGAGAGAGAGAGACAGAATCAGAGAGAGAGTGGCGACAGCAATGGAGTTGAAAGGATTAAAAAAGATACAAGCCTGTCAAGTTGATAGTTCCAGTGGTTGACAGCCCATTTTTTGTACATTATTAAACAATCGTGCTTCATTTCTCCCACCCAAATACAGAATGGCACAGTTAAGTGTATCATAGATAATAGATTCATCCAAACTACATATGCTGGTATTTATTGCATAAATTAGTTTTAAAAAAACAAATTAGTAAATAAACTTTATTGGGATAATAAAATTAATAAAAATACAAAGTCCGAAAGTAATACCATGCAATGTACAACTGCAATATTTTTTGGGTCGCTTGAAAGCCATGAATACACACTTTCACAAAAATGCTTGATCGTATGGAGAGGTGGAACATGATTGTCGTCAAATGGAAATCTCTCCACGCGGCCATGAAAATGTGATGGATCATAAGCTTCTTCTATACACAAGTTATAGACCTACAAAGTACCACCCAAAAATGAAAGATACTTAAATATTGAGAGAGAGAGAGTATTTAATAGGGGATTACTGTTGACAAGGCAGGAAGATCAAACATTATAATATTGAAGATCTTACAATAATAATACTAATCAGACTATCAGAGCATAATTATAAATAAATAATGGATATGATCAAACCACAACAGAGTATTTTTTTCTTTAATAGCACTGATTATAATCAATAAATAGATAAAAATGAAAAACAACCCAGGGCAAGCTGCCAATCATGGAGACAAGCACCACATAGTCATTTACCAATTAACTACCAAATGACCACTCATTGCTACTGCTTCAAGACTTGGTAATTTTGAGAAATCATATTAAGGCAGCACCATCAGTCGGTTTTCCATACAGATTGAGCACAACCTATTCAACTGGTTATAAGGAAAAAATTATTTAAATAAATGGGAAAACGAAAAACAATGAGCCTGTAGTTCTCTGTAAATTATAACCCAAAGATAATGATTCACTACAAAGAAAACAGTTGTTCTACAAATAATCTAGACAAAAGTGATTGGAATATTAGAAAACAAACGATCAGAGGAACGGTATTTATGGCATATGAGATTAAAATTTAAAGGAATCAAAGTTGCTAAATACCTTATAATGGCCCTGATGTGTCATGTCCAGTACAGACTTGACTTGCCAGAGAGGATTACGATACACTGCTCGCATACGTTCTGCAGGAAATGACATAGCTAATAAACGATCTGTGATATACGACATGTCAAGATCATAACCACCAACAAGCATTCGTCTCCTTTGCTTAGATACCAAGTTCCGTATGGATAAACTTCTAGAGAAATAATTGATAAGTTGATGTTGGACATGGAGTAAACTCAAGTCCTCAGCCTTCCCTGGCCCCTGTTGTGAAGTACTTATCCCCATTTGGCTGATATGATAGGCTTTACTACAGATGGAAAGGCACCTGTAATTAGAATAATTAAAAGTTACCTCTAGAGCAGTAACATATGAGTGTTGCTCTTTCAGAAGAACAAATGGACATGTGAAAGAAAATAGATCAATAAAGTTTTTCAAGTTTAGGAATCGCAAATCAATTCTAATACAAGTAACAAATACAAATTTAGAACACATAGATTCATGTATAACAAAACTAACTGCAGAACCCGAGTACGTACATTTGTACAATTATTGCTAAGCAGAATGGCCTAGATATGTATTGAACCGCAAACACCAATTCTGATGGACTTGTTGAAGTAACACAAACAAATGCGGAACCGGATAGATACATATAGTACAACAAACCTAACTGCGGAATCAGAGGATGTACAGTTGTATCATAAATTCATAATGCTGTGCAGGCTGCAAATGTAATCTACATCCTTTTGATAACTTTCTTTTTTAAAAAAATGTAAGTGCATGGTGTAACCACCATTCATGTCCATGACTCCATGCCGCAACAACATAAAGCATTTGAACAATTATAGCTGTAATTAACAATTTTGGATTGTGAAATTACTCCTTAGGGTTTTCAGAAACAATTTTAGTATAATTCATGACTTTGCTTTGACCTCCCAAATAAAAGATGAAAAATATGCTCGTAAAATCTCTTTTTTTTATTAGCATGATTATCAATAGCAGCTAATCAAATCACTAACTAGAATATTCCACGTGAATAATTCAGTCCATTGTGTTATATTCGTTTGTATCACATAATAAATTAAGAAAAAAATTATAAAAAAAATAAAATAAAAAACTTTTATTTCTATTATTATAGAGTCAAAGGATTACAATTTATGTAGTTTGAATCAACTAAAAAGCTTATTAACAATAATGTATTTAATTCATATTACATTGGCATTTAATGATTCCAACAGAGACAACACCCCTAACCTATCTATTTTCACATCTATGCTCCCCAACACCAACAGTTCCAATTCCCAACTAATTGATGTCATAATGGCTATCAAGTTGTCCTCAAAATTGAATATTAGAACACAAAAAAATTCTCCTTTATGCATTATATTTCAATCTTAACATAAAGAACTCTTTCCTAATGAGCCAACTTTCTTTAATAAGTCGTTCTTTGAAGATGATTTCAAGAGTATAAAAGCAAAAATGAAATAAAGTAGACATGAAAATATGATACCAAAACTCAATGCCAATTAGTCTCGCTCCTCTGCATTTTCCAGTGAAATTCAATTCAGTGATATCTCAAGCACAATACAAACATCTGGACCAGTTTATGTCATTCTTGTCATTTTAAAAGGTTAGATAAACAAAGATATACAAAGTTGCCTTTTTTTTTTTTTTTTTTCTGCCGCATAATTGAGAATAAAAGCATAAAAAACGCTTCCTCAAATCACAGACCTTTTTTTTTTTTTTTTTTAACAAAAACATCAAATAAAACAAGAAATTACCCACTTGATATCAAACATTAATACTGTGTAACAAAAAAAAAAATTATTAAATTTTCTAGATTTATTTTTTTTAAATGTAACCCAAAAAGTCACATGGCATTACAATACCAAATATCAATGCATTTTCACCCCTATTCTTTTTCAGGAGAATCCAACAAAATTAATAAAAAATATATTTACAAATTTGAACATATATATACAATTAAACGTAACTGCATTCAAAAGAAAAATAAGTTGTACCAGTTGAGCTGAACATAGACAATGGTCCAGAAAGACTTGCTTTGATCTCTCTCCAAATGTTAAGCCTAATTTGGTTTCCGCTTTGTTTACAAGAATTGAACCGAAATCTAGGGCATGAAATGGAAACCCTAGAAAATGCTTGCAAAACTATGGTGGTAAAGGAAGCGAAAACGAAAGAGAGGAAAGAATGGAAATGGAATTTAAGGGGGCCGAGAAGACAAGGTGAGTGAGTCCATATCCATGTCCATGTCCATGGATGATTAGGGAAAGGAAAAGGAATGACATTATACTTCTCTTTTACAAATTGAATGCAAGAGCTTCTGCTAATTTTGGGAGAGTTTGTAGTCCCTCCCATCTTCTCTCACCGCCTCCAAGAATTGGAGAAAAATGAGGCGAAACAATAGGCAATGTATTAGCCTATCATTAAATACTATTCCAGAGGAGTTAGGGGTGTGTTCTGTGGATTTTACAGTTGCAATACTCTTTCCGTAAATAAATGGATTTTAAAATTTATGTTTCTCATCAAATATAAGTAGTTGAGTTTCTTGGTTTTTTCTTACATTAATTTCTCATATTCAATTTTCTTTCATTAATTTCTCATATTCAATTTTCTTTCATTAATTTCTCATATTCAGTTTTCTTTCATTAATAAATTAATATAAATATAATTTTAAATTCTCGCTCGGATCGTGCAAGAGAGAGTTCTTTCTTATAGATAATATTTAATATAATTTTTTTTTTATAAAAAATATCGTAGATAAGGTGGAGAGAAGCAATGGGAAGACAGGGCGAGAGAATTTAGTTGGAAATATGATTTTTAATAGGTTTGGAGGATGTTATATAAAGCGAAATATGAAATCAATTCTTAAATGGGCCAATAATAAATGGGCATATTATTTTTAATTATCAATTTAATATAATGGATAGATACTTACTTATTAAACAAATTAGAGATGGGTTCACATCAACGTATTGTTTTTAATTTAATCGTCAAATTTTTTTTTTTTTAATCATCATTGTTAAAACATTACAACAACAATAAAAATGATAAAAATTCATTAAAAATCAAAACAAAGCACAAATGGAAAATTTGTTTTGAGAGCATACATGAACAAAGCACAAATGGAAATTTTCAACAATAATAATAATCCTTATTCTTAATTTTTCTTGTTGGATACCCAATTAGTATAATTTTCTATTTGTGCTTTGTTCTTAATTTTTCCCGTGGTTATGAATTGTTTGGCTTATAATAGTGTATAAAAATGAGCAACCCATTTGCTGACCATTTTTGTCAGGACATGCATGTATGCTCTCAAAACATTTATTGGATTGATTTAAACTTGTTTTACTTCTAGATGTCACAACTGCAGACACTGCATATACGAGGGTGGTTATTGTAATCTTCATCTGTCATCTTCTCGGTCATATCTCAATTCAATTTAAAGGTATAAATATGTGGTTTTGAGTTAATGTTTGTGAAGGAAAAAATAATAGTAAGTGTAAAACTATGTAAGTGCGTCCTTACAAGAAAAAGTGATTAAATAAGGATTTGGGCTTTAACATATACTTCTTGGGCATACAGCCACAACAGTAGAGATTACATTTTCCATGACGCACAAAATCTTGACAATCAATAATGGGATTCTAAGTACAGTTGGGCTTGGTGGTGGTGGTGGTGGTGGTGGTGGTGGTGGGGGTGGCAGAAGTGTGCATTGGAGGTGGTGGATAGATGTTGTAGCGAGAGAGAGAGAGAGAGAGAGAGGAGAGATGTTGTAGGGAGAGAATTTGGTGGTTGGATGTTTGGAGATTGTTTGTCATTTTGCATTTTATCAAAATTTTATTTTATAAGATATTACTAATATATTAGTGATTTTATTGCTCAATTACTCTCAAATGTGTAAAATTAATAAATTACCTTCTATTGATCACAAAATCCTTACATTCACCAGTTATGGGGATGGGGATGGGGAATGAGATCCCCACTCCATCCCGTTCCATTGTAATTTATTTCTAATTTTTGTTTTTTTAGTTGGTATTTATTTACATACGCTTTTACGAAAATTTGAATTCATGACCTTCCATTGGTAAGTCGTAAAAGCAGAGATTTAAATCTTTTCAATTCCTAAGCATTGCAAAATTCAATTCTCAAAAAAAAATTAATTTCTAAAAATTTAAAAAAAAAAAAAATAGTGCCTAATTGAAACCTTTCCTTAGTTGAATGGATATAAAATCAGAAATTTAAATACTTTCAATTTATAACCTTTGTAAATTTATTTGGGTAATTTATTTCCTCCTATATGAAATCAGAAATTGAAATCCTTTCCATTCCTAAATGTTAGTAAACTTTAATTTCAAAAATAAATTTAATTTCTAAAAATAAAAAACTAGTGACTAATTTAAATCTTTTCCCAGTCGACCGTACGTACATCCATTAGTCACTGAAAACGTGTTTTTCCCTTTCGGTTTGGCTTGAGGTTACTCTGTTTGCTGTACATTGTGGTGGATGCTTTAACTATTTGATTTGATAGCAGAGAGAGATATGGCAATCCAAAGAAAACCTGGATTGGTGCAGTCTATCCTAATTTCAAAGAAGAAAGCCACTGTACCGGTCCACAGATATGTACGTATGTAACTCCTTTATACTAGCTCGTCTAGTACAACACTAACTACAACTGGTTATGGTGAGCTGAGAACCCAAAAGAGATGTTAATTGATATTTTTTTTATATGCTATTCAACTTTGGGGTTCACATCTTACCTCATAGGAAATACAACAAACCTTGTAGTCCAATGGACCGTACCAGTCGCACTAGAAATGACAATCCTTGTAGTCCAATGGACCAGTCGCACCATAAATTTTGTATGTTTCTCTCTCTCTCTCTCTTATGTTTTTTTTGCTGTTTCAAACTGCACCTGTTATTCATCAAAGAAAAAAATCTCTTCTTCTTCAACTGACGACTTGTTCTTGGACGAAGAAGCAGCTGCCAGAACCAGTGGCTTGTTGGCCAGCCGTGGCGTCGCCTCTTCTTCTCCTTTAACTTAGTATTGGTACTCTTCTGTTTCAGTTGCAACCCTTTTGATTTGTTTCAGTGAAGGTGGTGATCGATGTTGGACGTCTCATCGCTTAGTTCCATTCTCTCTTCGAACCCATCGATTGCATGAAACGCTTACTCGGAGTGTTCGTTCTGTCTCGGTTAAAATAACAATGAGGGTAAATTGGACATTTCGTTTTCTCAATTAACTTGGTCCCCGTCGACCACGTAGCAGAGGGAGTCTAAACGAAGATTACCCTATTAGAACTTAAGTTGGATAGCAAATAAAATAAAATCATTTAAAAGTTAAAATCGTATAAAAATATATATTTTATTTTGTACAACACTTGACAAATAAATTGTAATTATAAAATGACTAAAGATAAAGGAACCGAAAAGGAATTTCTAATATCGAATTTGACTTAGTTGGTTATACTGTACACGCGGACAAAAATAAGACAAATTCGAAACTTATTCAGAAAAATCATTCGTTGACTTTATCATTTTTTTTATAAAATTAAGAAAGTTATAAATAAGGATAATAATTTTATTTGAAATAAAATAAAAATAACCTTCTCAATTTTTTTTATTTATTGATTTTTTAATTTCCTTATTTATTATTTTCTTAATTTTGTAATTACTTATATTTGAGATTAGAGCGCATCAATAGGAATGACCTCGAAAGCCATTCTACTTCAGAACTAGAGCAGCTCTTCAAAGTTTCAGTACGCTCCAATAGCGTGTTTGTGATAGATCCTCCAAAATTTTTAGAATAGAGCCCATGTTCTTCTCCACTCACCAGTAGCTATTTTTGAGAGAAATAAATTTTAATTATTTAGGATACATTGCTTAAAATTGTGTGCGTAAAGGGTGGGAAGAGAGAATCAGATTAGGGATTGAGCAATAGAAGCTTGACAAATCTCTTACACAAAAATGTCCAGTGAAGCAGTTGGAGAAGAGACGCGTGCTATTACTATTACTGTGGGTGATGATATAGTCAGATTATCTGATTATGGAACTGGATTTGAACCTGAAGAGGAACTGAACAAAACAGGAGAACAGGTACCTAAATAATTATTTCGTCTCTCTGTAGATCGAAACACAGTTCATTCTGGTATCAAAATCGTAGAAATTTGGCCATATCAAAACCCTAGATAAAATATGTATCTATATGACATATAGCTAATTAACAGTCACTTGTAATTAGCAAAACATACTTCAACACTTGGGATTGATCTATATTTGTTACTCATTCATGAAGTTAGTTCTAATTGATCTCATATTAGAAAGCAACTGTGTTTTTCAATGCGTGGCATATTAGATTACTGATAAATTCTAGATGTTTGTTTTGGTTTTGTATATACAATATTCCTTTGAATTGGTAACAACACTAACGCAGCTAGGCACGAGTACTGATTTTTGAGACACGGTGATTGCAAATGCAGTAACATTATGTTACAAGTACAAATACAGAAAACGGATTATCTGTAAAGCTCTGAATACTCAAATTTTGCTACACCAACCTTAATTGTTGATGCAAATATATCACCGTATTGAATTTTAGAGATTCAGTCCTTGCTTTATTTTCATTCCCAATATCTTCATCAATTGCAGACTGAAATTTGATTCCTCTGTTTCTATGATTACCAACATCAACCTAATGATGAACATGAATGAAAATCTTTACTTTTTATCATTGACATCTTCTTTGTTGAAATTAGCCACATTGTAGGTTATGGATTGCTTAAAATTTAAGTTGTATATATCTTTACTTCATTCACAGAGTCATCTAAACTAAATACCCTTGATTAAGTTTGTGCACACTGTTACTTTTATTTTTATTTTTATTTTATTTTATTTTTTTTGTAATTCATATTCTAACGTAGTATCAAAGTCATGTTCTATGAATATTGATTTCAAATCTTCTTGTCTTCATTTATCCTTTTTTTTTGCTTTGCACTAACTGTTCCTTGTTCTACATTTTTTATTTTTTCCTAGTTGGGAAACTCACACACATACTGCCTCCACTGAGGTTCGAACCCCTGACCTCCCTTTGGGAGGTAGGAGCCTTGTACCGCTAGGCCACAGGCCTGTTGGTTAATTTGTATCTGCATTATATTCATTTATTATATATATTTTTTTGCTTTTTATAATATTATAGTGATATGTATTTGAGGGTCTCATTTTGATTTGGACATTAGTTCTGTTGTATTCTGATTCAATTTTTCCTGGGTTTTCATAAATCTCAAAATTTCCAACCTGTTTCTCAGCTTGAGACTGTTTTTATTAGCCTAGTCTATGTCCAAAGGTGCAGCATGGGAATAGGGAATTATCAACAGGCAAATGATGCCCACTATGTTGTGTCAGTATAAAATTTGACACTAAAGATGCACAAATATATGAAACTTAATACTTTTTGAACTCGGGACCTCTTTATTTGATATTATAATTAGATGGATGTGAATGCACAACAACATTATTAAACATGTTTCTTGTACACTATTTACAAAATTCAAACGTTACCAAACGTTGATTCTATTTTTAGAAAGAAATGGCTAGATATAGAAACACCTAGAATACATAAATGTAAACGTTACCAAACATCCCCTTAGTTTCTCTTATTTTATTTTATATATATGTGTGTATGTGTGTCAAAATATGGGATGTATCAATGTATGTTAGTCTCTCTTCTTTTTTCACAAAGCTAGTTTCTCTTTTCTTTTTATATGTATGTAAAGTAATGGTATGTATTATAATATTTGTCAGTTCTCTATACTTTTTTCACAAAATGCCTTTTAAACTAGGTTGTGTGTGTGAAAGAGAGATAGAGTTGCATGAATCAGATGCAGGTTCTGAAGGACATGGATGAGAGGATGCTGCCTTGGCCAAATCTTCATCTCTCCCTCTCTCTATCTCTCTATCAAAACTCACTACCATACGTATCACAAAAGAAACAAAAACCTAGAAGACCCATATCTTTTTTTTCTCTACCTTAGCATTTTCTTTCTTTTCTTCCTTCCTCTTTCTTTTGCTCTCTTTTTATGGGTTTGTTGATCTTTTTGAATTAAAAATTTTGAAAACAAAAAATACTTTTAAAGAATGTCTTTAGACTTTATCTCTATTCTCTCTATAATATTTTTCTCTCTAATTTTCTTTCGAGATGCTCTAAGAAGTACTGTTGAATGGATATGGAAAACTGTTTTTCTTATCGTTAGATTTAAAGAAGCAAAAATTAATGAGTAGTGATACACATCTCAAAAACTATTTCGAGATGTGTATCTCAAATCTGAAAACGTTGCCGTATAGAGTCTCACTTGAAACAGATATTTTGTCCACAAGTTTCCATAGGTCATGGATTGACTAATAAAAAAAGAAAAAAAAAAAAAAAAAAAAGAAGAGAAAAAAGAAATATAGGTAATGGAGGCTAAGCAAACAATTCAGTAGCAAGTCCCTTTCTTGGATTAAGGGTGTTCCATTTTATCTCTTTGCTTTTGCTCAAGTTTGGATTAAGGGTGTTCTTAAAACTAAAACTGTTTTAGTTTTATGAACATTGAAAACAGTTTGAAATTCATTTATTGTTATTTTTGAGGATTTGTTATCTAATAACAAACTAATAAAATGCAATTTTTTTTTTAGTTATCTGAAAAATGTTTCTCAAATTATTTTTTGATAATTAAACTAAAACATGCTTTAGGTTGTGCTTCATGAGCTGCTTGAATGTCCCTGTTACTGAATGCTTCCATTCACATTCTCAGTACCACGTTAAGGTAGAAATGCATGATCTTCAATAGATTCAATTTGGGAGCATTACCTAGTCGCCTAGTTGGTAGAGCGCCCAGCTCCCCGAGCGGGTGTGGCCTTGTTGTAGTCCCCCTCCCCCTAGTTTACTAGGATTTAAAAAATAATAATAAAAAATAAATAAATAGATTCAACTTGGAAAAATTAGGAAATCCACTATATTCCTCCTACATGGTTTTATTTCTATTTTCTGAAATGACAAACTCTTAATTTTAAACATCACCTATTAGTTGGCAATTTTTCCTAAATGACTCATTATATTAAAATGTCATATAAATCGAGAATACGATCATTCAAATTGAAGACGTCCATACAAGCTTTAGGTTAATGAATTATTTGAAAAAAAATATGATATGATGGCATTTTATTCTTGCTTTTCACATCTAAGTAAAGCCCTGCAGTTTTCATTTATGATTGGTGTAGTAATCGTTCTCTCTCATTGCAAACAGTCTTCTCCTGGAAGCAAAAAGATCGTTGGTGTCTTTTGCAAACCAAAACATGATTTTAAGAATGACAATCTTGTGGGCTGTGTACAAGGAGCCTTGGGAATGCAGGACTGGTTGGAATCAAAAGGTCACCAATACATTATCGCTGAAGACAAAGGACCTAATTGTGGTAAGCGTGTAGACAAAATTACTCTATTTAATATATACTTTTGTACACGTGAACCTGAATAATAAGTTAACTTGAGTAAGCTTCGGCAGGGAAGCCACCATGTCATGCATGTAGTACAGTCGGAGCCAGTTAGTTCATGGAACAAGTAACGTCAAATAACTGAGATGAAGATGGAAAGCAATTTTTTCTAATTTATGTTAATTGAAATTGTTCAAAAAGGAATATGGTTAAAATGTTGGGTCACTGTTTAAGGTGCTAGTGTTGTGAAGTCATTGCTTCTTGGCTATAGAGACTAATCAGATCATCTGTTTTAATAATTCCTTGTTGCAGAACTTGAAAAGCATATTCCTGATCTCCATGTGCTGATAACTACCCCTTTCCATCCCGCGTATGTTACAGCTGAAAGGATCAAGAAGGCCAAAAATTTGCAACTGGTGCTCACAGCTGGAATTGGTATTGATCATATTGATTTGAAGGCAGCAGCTGCTACTGGTTTAACAGTTGCAGAAGTCACTGGAAGCAATGTAGTCTCTGTTGCAGAGGAAGCGATCTTTCTTGCTGAGGATGCACTCATGAGAATCCTCGTTCTTGTCAACAACTTTTCGACTGGATACAATCAAATTATCAGTGGTGAGTGGAATGTTTTTGGTATTGCTAGTAGAGCTCATTCTCTTGAAGGAAAGACTGTGGGAACAGTTGGTGGTGGACATATTGCTGGGCTTTTATTTCAACGGTTGAAGCCTTTCCACTGTGATCTCCTATATCATGATCAGAGCAAGATGGATCCAGAATTGGAGAATCAAACAGGGGCAAGGTTTGAGGAGGATCTTGACTCAATGCTTCCCAAATGTGACATAATTGTCATCAACACACCTCTTGTGGAGAAAACAGAGTAAGCCTTTCTTCTCACACCCAAGCTGCCTTCAACTAGTATAATTAAAGAGTTCATTTTTAATTCTTAAATTAGTAAATTAGCAATTGGAAAACTAACATGCATATGGACGATAAATTTAAACGAATTTATGACATGTTTCAAATGTAGAACAACATAGATCTCAATTGTTAATGTTAACATCTAATAACTGGTGGGAGTGTTTTGAATGGGTGATGACCTGCCTTCAGCGCAAGCAGTTTATGATTATCTTAATCGGAAGCCCATCAAGCATGTGTTTCGTGCCTTATGGGCATTTGTGAATTTATTTACTCTGTTGCTATTAAGTAGAGCAAAATTTTGAGTTCTTATCTAAAACTTCAAACAACATTTATAACTGCCTATGTTTTCTTTCCAAAACTTAAATATGACATTTTTTTGTTAATTTTCTTCCTAGACGATATTGCTAAGTGATTTATCAAGGCAGCTCACTGGTGACTGCTTCATCACTGCTAGTTTGGAACTTACAATACTTGGATTCTTTACTTCACCATAAGATGTATAATGTCCATCAGCCCATATATACACGTGCAGTAAATAAAAATTGGGAGACCTACACTACATGCATGATATGAGATGTTAATATTGCTTTCAATCTATTATGTGGTTCTAAACAATGATGGTCTTTTGTTCTTATTTTTAACACCATGGCCCCATGGCCAACATGTTTATACTGTAATCAAAACTAATTAGAATACCGGTTTGCCTTCAGAATGATGTTTGACAAAAAAAGGATTAAAAATGTGAAGAAAGGAGTTCTAATTGTTAACAATTCTAGTGGAGCAATCATGGATATGGAAACATTGGCTGCTGATTGTCTGAGTAGAAAAGTAATTGCAGGTAATTTCAAAACTGAATTTGATGGATGTGAATGTTTTATATTGTATCCGCATATATTCCTATAAACAACATAAGCTAAGGTGTTGTTTCCATCTTGATTTTGATATGAAATTTATTATGTTACTTGTTCTCCTTATTTTGTTAAAGTTCCTTTTTGTTGGATGCCACTGTATTATCATGGATTTGAATAATAATAATAATAATAATAATAATATATATGATGATGATGTTTAGCTAATTAAGCAAGTTGAGGTCTTCAATTTGTGAGTACAGGGACTGCAATACTACTCACCAATTTTGTCCCTTTAAACTAGTGCTTACCTATAATTTCCTAATTTTTAGGTTATAGTGGGAACCCTTGGCAATACATGCCAAACCAAGCTATGACCTCTCATATTTGTGGCTCTACAATTGATGAGCAGGTATTCAAGCTTTAAAATTATTTATTATATTTCAATATCGTTGCTTCTTTTCTTGTATTTTTTGTTTGTAACTCGGAATAAAAATATTGAAATGATGCCAGGTGCGATATGCGGCTGGAGTGAAGGACATGCTGGAGATGTACTTGAAGGGAGAAGATTTTCCTCCACAGAATTACATTCTCAAGGACGGCGAACTAGCAAGCCAGGAAATGCTGGACAGGTACAAGGGAGAAGATACGTTGTCCGATTCCGCTGAACAGTAACTGTATGCAATATAATAGATATATATAGTTTCACAGAAATCCCTAACATAAAATATACTACTACTATATAGTTTCAGGTTGTTCCATATACCGTGGATTTTAACTTTTCATCCCAGCAATGACATAGGAATAGAAAACCATATGTTTGTTGTATTAGAATTAAAAACCCAATTTATTTAATAGGAACTTGATTCCTACCTTTTAACTTAGATTTCAAAATTAAAATGTGATACTTGTCTGTTGCCACCAGAGGATGCTCTAATAATATAAACACTAATTCTACAACCCTTTCATCTTCATCTTCATCTTCATCTTCATCAACCAAAGAATCCAAAGAACCTTTAGCTTGTTTGTATTAGTTAGTTGTAAAGCCGTTATAACTAATAATTTTTTTTATTACTAGTATTAGTTATCAAAAAATCTCATCATAATAATAAATTTTGAGAATCCAAATATTATGACTCCTAAATAAATTAATTCCATAAATTAAAATAAATAATATCTAAGTCTAAACGTACATAAAATAAGCCAGATAATATCATACGTGGTCTAAACATGAAATAAACCGGAATGATTTGCACGAACATCCTCCAGGCCCTTTACTCCATTCCTTCACGAGGGCCGGGAACAATAAGACTCTTGAAGTGCAAAAGCCAACTGTACAACTATTAGCAGGCGCAACATCCGTAGGACTTGAATTTTTTTAAAATATTTGATTTGATTCCATTCTACAGTAATAATTTCATAATTTATATACTACACGTGCGAATCTCCCCCAATTTGCAATTTTAATTTAGTCAATCCTTCAATTCAATTTGTGAATCTACAGTTTCATAACCATTTTTTATATAAACAATAACTCTATTAAGCATCTATAATAAATAGACCAAAGGATAAATTGCCACAAGCAGCAACAATAGACCAAAGGATAAATTGCCCACAAACCCCTTCAAGTTTGCAACTTTCACCCTCTGTTGAGCTTTGAATAAAGTAACAACTAGGTTCATTTCATCGTTAATACTGTCTAAATAAATTTTTTTAAATGCAAAATTTTTTAACTTTCAATGGGATGAAGTTACAGTTTTAGGCTCAATTAATATGCGGTGCGACAAAACTAACTCCAAATTGTTGAAATCAATAAATCGGACCGATTCGAATTGAACTATAAGAGATGATTCTTTCTTTTTTTTTTAATTCTGGTGTGACTTAGCTAAATCAAATTTGAAAAATTTTCGTATTTTTTCTTTCATGTTGCCTATCAGGATTCTGTACGTAATACCAAGAATTTTACTTGTAGTGTGTCTGCATGGTTCTCTAAGCAACTGTGTTACATGAAAAGTAAATAAGAGAGAAAAAAGTAGCAACAAAGACATAGACATATATAAATGCACACTGCCTTAGACAGTTGGATAGGATTATAACAGTTCCTCTGTCTACCAACCGAACATGCCACACTTGAATGTTCTTGGTATGCGTCTTATCTAACCTATTGACCAAATATGTCATTTAATAATACTATATATTTTAAATGATTTAATCTTTTATTATTAAAATAATATAAGGAGTAGTATTAATGACCGAATTCGATGATAATTATGAAATTTTATTTAGTGATATCAAGTGGTGAACCTCCTCATGCCAGAAGAATTCAGGCACAGATCATTATTCGAATGGGAATACAGAAGTAATTTTTTAGGTCCCCAAGTTTCAAACCCAAGAGTTAAGTGCAACTTTTTGCGAAAATTTCATCAATGTAATTAGGACCAAATTCAGAGGAGGTTGGTGTATATTACCCTAATTAATATTACTCTGATTTAACAATAAGTTGGCATTAAAAAAACAAACCAGAAACAATTCATAAACCATCCTCTGGTACTAATATGTTTTTTTTAAAATTAAAATCCATAGCAATAGGCAACAAAGACATGAACATATATGCTGCATTGGAATGTGTGGTGGGATTATGCAGTTGGTTTCTCCCATTTAATCTTTCCATCCACCAACTCAACATAATATATATGTGCAACACCTAGTGTGAGTATCCACAAATTTATCATCCACTGAAGAGAGAAAGCTAACCTACTCACCACCAACTATGTCGAACACACCGCACATAGCCCTCTTCCCAAGTGCCGGAATGGGTCATCTGATCCCGTTCCTTCGGCTCGCTGCAATGCTAGCTTCGCGCGGCTGCACGGTCACCCTTATCACCATCAAACCTACGGTCTCTGCTGCAGAGTCTACTCATATCACTGCATTCTTCTCCACCTTTCCACATATCAAGCGTCTCGAGCATCAAATCCAACCCCTTTTGCCTTCTAATCCCACCATCAATGACCCTTTCTTAGATCATTATGAAGCCATTCGTCGCTCTGCTCATCTTCTCCATCCCCTCATATTATCTTCATCCCCACCTCTCTCTCCCATCTTCTCCGACTTTTTTGTCACAACAAGCATTAGCCAGATTGCTGATGATCTCTGCATACCCAACTACGTTTTCTCCACCACCTCTGCCACATTTCACTCTCTCGTGGCCTGCCTACCGTTTCTAGCTTTATCCGGAGGCACTGCTAAATTTAATAGTAGTGGCACTGTTGAGATCCCTGGTCTCGCTGCATTGCCAACATCAAGCATTCCTCCACCCTTCTTCAACCCAAATCATCCTTTCACAGCCCTGCTAGCATCAAACGCGCTTGCTCTAGCAAAAGCAAAAGGTGTCATAATAAACACCTTTACCTCATTTGAAACAGAAACTATCACTGCACTCAACGATGGAGGAGTTTTATTAAGTAATATCCCAATATTGCCACTTCTTCCAGTTGGGCCGTTAGAACCTTGCTATCTCGAAAAAGACTATCATCTTCCATGGCTAGATAAACGAAGTGCTGGATCCCTAGTGTATGTCAGCTTTGGAAGCAGAACAAGCATGACTAAGGATCAAATAAAAGAACTTGGAAATGGGTTGCAGAGAAGTGGGTGTGGATTTTTATGGGTAATAAAAGGCAACAAAGTGGACAAAGACGATAGTGAAGAGCTAGAAGACTTGCTAGGCAAAACATTCCTTGAAAGAACTAAGAATAAGGGAATGGTAATCAAGGGATGGGCGGACCAAGAGAAGATTCTGGCACACCCCGCCATTGGAGTTTTTGTTAGCCACTGCGGATGGAACTCGGTGATGGAAGCAGCTCAAGTAGGGGTACCCGTGTTGGCATAGCCGCAACACGGGGACCAGAAAATAAACGCAGAGGTGGCGGTGAAGGCGGGGTTGGGGATGTGGATAAGGGATTGGGGTTGGGGTGGAGAGAGATTGGTGAATGGGGAGGAGATTGCAGAGAAGATTGATGTGATGATGGGGGATGAGAACTTGAGGAACAAGGCTAGGAAGGTCGGTAAAGAGGCTAAGAAAGCTGGAGAAACTGGTGGGACTTCCGAGAAGGTGTTGATGGAAGTCATTGAAATGTTGAAGCATAAACACGGGATCTAATATCTATATTTTCCATGTTATGCATCTTCTTAGTTTTACTTTTATCAGTTCTCTTCCAATTTCAGATTGCTTTTAATTGGTTGTCAGTCTCTATTGTTCACGGCTGATCGACTTCTAGGCTTCCATCCACATTTAAGTCATCATCTGCCAACATGGTGACGCTTTCTGTATCCTTCAACAACATAGTTGCCCTTGTAAGATACAAGTGGTTCCGATGATTGGTGATGAATAAGAGAAATAATGGAGCTTTTCTGTATGGCGGGAGACATCTATTTTGGCTCAAATTTTGGGAGACATAATAATATTTGTGATCCCACAGCAAACAAGAAGTGAGAGATGGTGATTATTGTTGTGTGTTACCGTGTAGTGATACATGTGTGTGTATGTATAATGTATATGGCAGTTAAGTAATGTGTGTGCATGTGACGACGTAAAGAAAAAGGAAAAAATTGATGAAGGTGAACGAGGCCAGTCATTCTCCATAAAACGTGGAGAGAGAGAGAGAGAGAGAGAGAGAGAGAGTTGAGTTGAGTGGGGGGAAAAAATTATAGAATAATCTTGGTGATTCATTGATATTTGTAAACTTTATATTTTTTAAAGGTTAATTACAATGACACCTCTTGATGTTTGTCTTAATTACAGTCATATACAAATTAACTTCTTTTTGAACAGTTAGACTCCTTTAGATTTCATAAACTTAACAAAGACACTCTTACCATCTCTGACACAAGTTAAAATGGCGTTATTATCCTTTGACTTTTGAATTACCTTAATTTTTTAATTAAAATAAGAAAATGTATCAAAATGCCATTTTAGGACAAAAATACCCTCATCTTCCCTATCTCTCTCCACCCACCAAGTCCAAAATCAATATCCAATCAGTCCCTTTACAACTTCCATTGAATTTGAATTTATCTTTATTGATTCAAGACTCATCATTTCAGATGCTAAATTCACCGGAACTGTCATTGCCGAGCTCAGTGACTTACATTCACTCACTCTAAGCAATTCATCCATATTAAACGATTAGTTAATAAAGCCTAAACTCTATCCTTTCAACGAGAAGCCCATATACTTCTGCAACTCTCTCTCTCTCGAGCTCCAGCAACGATGACGATGCTCTAGCAACATTGACTAGCAGTGGTGTTGGCATGATGGTAAGTACAGTCTAGTTGCCCCACTTCCGTATGAATCAACAACCTTCTCCAATCTGATTTTCACGATGGTGATTGCGGAAGTGGGGAAAGTCGTGTGTGGAGGTGATGGTGGTGTTGTGGCGGCGGCGGGGGCTATAGTCGGAGGAGGAGATGGATCTAGTGGAGGCGGAGGTGGTGTTGTGGCTGCGGCGGCTGTGGTTGGAGAAGAAAATGCGGATCACCATGGACGGCGACGATTCCCGACCGACTGCCACAAATTCCCCGCCGCTGCTGCTGACGACGATGTCATCGTCGAACACTGCCGCCACTTCAGCGCAGTTCTTCTACGGGCCGATTCAATCCATCATCCACCGGCCGATTCAATCCATCACTGCTGCCGCCACTTCAGCCTGTCGCCGTCGACATCGTAACCAAGTTCTGGGAGGTGGTGTGCGCAGAGCACGGGATCAATTCCTGCGGATCACGTGGCCGGTTGTGCGCAGAGCACATGATGTGGAAAACGTCTGATCCGGACTGTACGACCAGGTCTTCCTCCCCGACAACTTCGTCTTCAGCCAGCCAGTCCCCGACCATGATCTCTTCAACACCAAAGCCATGATCACCTTGGCCAAGACGTCAAGATCATCG